GTTCTTGGAATATAGTAATTATACAATCAATGTAGCTGTAAGGGAAAAGAACAGACTTGGTTTTGGTTTTTTACAATCTAAATCTTAAACATTTTAAACTCTAGTAGTTGGAATCTTCACTCAATGAATAGAGGGTAACTTCTGCCCGATTATTGACTTTTTTGGAAACTCTTGGTCTCTGTCTTTTGTCTATTTTATAATTAGCTCATTGGGTAAGAAATTTATATAACTCTTTACAATTCTATCATTTCAAATTTAGAGAATAATTGTCCAATCTATATATATAAAAGCCTAAGTGACCGTTATGACCAGAACGACCAGAATGACCGGTCGACCAGTCACTGTGAAGTGCACTGACCACCAGGGGGCAGACGCTCAACACAGGAGCTGTCCCCTGGTGGGTCAGTGCATTCCCACAGCCAACCTCCCATGGCCGGCCAACCTCCCATGGTCCCTTCCCCTGGCCAGCAGGATCGCTGGCCAGGCCTAGGAGCCCCACCCATGCACAAATTTGTGCACCGGGCCTCTAGTAAACTAATAATTAAATACGTGTGTGTGTGTGTGTGTGTGTGTGTGTGTGTGTACATTGATAGCACAGGGGCAACAGAAATGAAGGAAAAGAGAGAGTGAATCTTTGAGAGATCTGACTGGCGAAAGGAATTAAGCTGGGAAACCACAAAATTAAGCCAACATATTTTTAAACAGTACACACACACACACACACACACACACACACACACACGAGAAGAAAAAACAGAAAATGGAGCTCTCTATTAAGTACTTAACTCAAACAATAAAATGTGCTTAACTGTTCCTAATGAAGTTTGGAAAATTTTGCTGAAACACATGAGAAAGGAAAAATGAATTTGGACTAAGAAAATTAAAATCTCCTTTGCCATTTATCAGATATAGACAACAGACAAAGAAGCCACTTGTAAAGTTAACAGAAAATATTATTTCTCTCAAGAACATGCTATAGTGTTAACAACCACCCCCCAACTTGGAGAAACTACTGCTTTTTCACTTACAGATAACCCTTTTCTATATAATAATGAATGGATTGTTGAAAAAAAACTTGCTCTTTGAAATCCTTTCATTAAGAATGAAATATCCCACTCTTGGCTAGAAAATCTAAGTCACTTTGACACAAAGAAACAGCCTCTACTTCCAACCCAGGGGCAGTCAGAAAAGAGGTTTGTAGAAACAATATGTTTCCAGACTAAAGGGGTCTGTTTGCCTGCCTGCATTAAAGCGAGAGAAGACACAAACAAGATTTGTAGCAAAGAAAGTGAGGGTTTATTTTTACGTGGCCCATGTCCAGAGTCACAGGTCAGCTAATTCTCAAAGACCTGGCTCCCTGATGGCATCAGGGAATGGGTTATACAGATGATAAGTCATTAATTTTGGTGACTAGGAGAGTTAGGGTCATGTTTCCACTGATTGGCCATTGCTAGGGTAGAGGGTATTTGATCAATGCATCTATTCCTAATCTCAGTCATAGCATTGCTTTATCTGTTTTCTCTAGGATGTGGTCAGTGGGATTGTTCTGGAGCTGAAACAGAGCTGAGGCCTACATGTTATCTCTATTTTGACCAAAAATCCATCTCTGGGTTCAACAGACCTGACGCTTTGTTCCTAAGATTACTTGATGTTGGTCAGAACCTCATTGTCCTGAGGGCTTAATGATTTAGGGAGTAGTCCTGCAAGAGAGAAGGAGGCAGGTGAATCAGGGTGCTGGATTAAGCCAGTTCAAAAGAAAGGAGAAAGATAATATTAAACAAATGAAGTTTCTACTGAATTACAAATACACACCTATTTAAACTTTTTAGTTTTCAATAAAACAGCACCCTGGGTCCATGTTGCAGTCCAGACGTAATGTAGACCTCTTTACATACAGCCTTGCTTTCTTGTGAGCCTATCAAAACATTTTCAAACTTCATTGCAATTTCTCCTAAACTCAACACTACCCAAAATTCCTATAATAAACTTATCTTTCCCTATGTTTGGTAAGGCACTTCATGGTTCTTCTGGAATATGGGCTTCCTCCTTGCAATGGGCCAGAAACCTGACTTTCTTGAAATATACCAGTAGTTTTATTCCCCATAGGCCTAGGCTTATTGGACTAGGAAGTCTGCCTCACACTAAAAGTTCAGGAAATTCATTTTAATTTCACATAAAAATTAGCAACAAAAAAAGTCCCATGCAAAGTTATTATAAGAAAAACAAGAATAAGGATCATAACATCATCATTACAGGTAATGCAAGCATGCCTGAAAGATGTACCACCAAATAGATCAAACCTTAAGTTACTGTTTTGAAACCACCTAAATAAGATTAAGAAAATCATACAAAATATAAAAAACAGCATAGATTTAGAATTAGAAAATCTCAGTTAATTAACTCAATGGGAATATCCTTTAACGGTATATACATAGATCAAATCATCACATTGTACACTTTAAATATCTTTATTTGTCAATTACACCTTAAGAAAACTGGGAGAAGGGTTAGAAAGACTCAAAAATGAGGTGACAGAAAATCAGGAAAATTAGTTACAAAGAATAAACTAAAAGGAACACAAAGCTAATGAGCACAAAAGATTGATTTTTTTTTTTTTCTGTAAAACTCTGCACCAAATCTTAGGTCGATACGTCTCCAGTCATTCTGGTTGTCTGACGCTTTCTCCGCTACTTCTCTAGGAAGGGCTCATAGGAACAACGGTCTCATTAAATGTTGATGTCATATCAAGTGTTGATAATAGCTTATTCCCTTTGTACATGAGGGTTGGTTTTGCTGGATAGTAAATCCTTGACCACACTTTTTCCCCCTTGAATATCCTAAATGTCATTTTATTTTCTTCTGGCAAAAAAGATTCATTGTCAAAAGTCTGATGATATTTCAATTTTCTTTTCCATTTTGATGTCACATTTAATGTGACAAAACATTAAAATCTATTAAATCTGGGTATCTGGTATACTGTATGTTTGAAATAATTTACACTATATTTCAACAAATCAAAGATGACTTCAATTATAAGAGCACCATTGTTTTCTGTATTTTTTAAAAAGAAAAAAACACATTCTAATTTCAGGGATGTTAACATGTCAAGAAATGTGGGTGTTAGGTGAAATATACTACATTATGTTTCTAAATACATAAACCATAAATTTATTAGTTCAGAGTTCTTGCAGGTTAGAACTGGGGGCACAGCATAGCTAGGTTCTCTGCCTGAAGTCTTCCAAGGTTGAAATCAAGGTATCAGCTGTGTTTTGGTCTGAAGCTTAGGGGTTTTCTTCCAAGCTCACATAGGTTATTGACCAAATTTCGTTCCTTGCAATGAAATAGGTCGTTATCCCCATTTTCTTCTTGGCTGTTAGTTGGAAGCCACTAGAGGGCATTCCCATTTGTTTCTAGGTGGCCCCTTTCCTCTTCAAAGCCAGCAAAGTAGAATCTCTCTCACATCAAATTGCCCCTCACACTTTGAATCTCTTTCTTCAGGAAAAGCTCAGCCCCTTTTAAAGGTAGACAGGCAATATATAAGTAAACAAATACATATACACCAGAAAGTGATAAATGCTAAAAATAAATAAAATAAAATAAAAAGTTTATGCTTGCATTTCCCTCTGTCTAGAATATTCTTCTGCTAGGATATCTGGCAGGGCTCACCATACATTAGATTTGGGTTCAAATTTCACTTTCTCAAATAGACCCTCTATGACTATCTAAAATTGTCTTCCTCCTCCCCTCCAAGTCTCTTTCTAACTCCTCACATTTTTTTTTCTTCATTATGTTTACTTTTCTGAAATTATTTTTTCATTTATTTTCCATTTTTTTGGCTTTTCACAATGAGATTGTTGAATTCAGGAATCACTGTATCTCTATCACCTTATCATTGTCTAATAGGTCCTAAAGTTTAATGGCCATTCAATTTTTAGAAAGAAAAAAAGGGAAATTAGAAGGAAATACAGAAATTGGCATTATCTGTGGAGTGGGCCAAATATATTTATTTACTTTAGAATAAAAAGACAGAGGGATAAGCCTAGTGCTAGAGCAGAACCTTGATAAAATTTGATTTTAGTTGTTCTGTTGAAAGGTACATAACTGGATTGAGAAACCTGAATGATGCCATAGTTGAGCAGCATGTTTTCAGGTTATTGGAGATGTACAATTTTTAAAAGAGAATGGAGAGGCATAGAGAGTAATGTGGTTTTATCTGGATCCTCACTCCCCACTAGACAGGAAAAAGTTCTAATTAACTAAAAATATCACACATTGCAAGAGATGATGTAATGTATATAAAGACAGTATATGCCAATTTTAAAAATCCTGCAGATGTTTCTTAGACTGGAAGACAAACCCTAATGTTATTGTGTCCCACTCATCCTTGTTTTCCAAGAAAGGTGCAAGGGGAGTCAATGGAAAGAGAATTAGATGAAAGGTTCTTAGACATGTGTGACCAGCTCTTTGACCTTGACCGAGTCACCTACATTACTAACTTCAGCCAGAAGGTGAAGGGGGCAAACTGGATGACATACAGTAATGTTATTCATAGGTCTAAAAGTCACATGATTCTACTAAACCTGTGGCAGTGCCTGGCATGTACTATACGCTCAAAATGATCTGTCAAACGTATAACGTCTTAAAATTGAATCCCAGGCTGGACATCTGGAGCTACCCATTATTAATCTTTGGTTATTTATAAAATTGGGGGTGGGGGTTCCATTTCTCGCAACAAAACTCGAGAATCCTGATAGGCAGCCCCATCATTTCAGGGCCCCTGGAATCCTCAGTGCTTGGCTGGGGAGCCAGCGGTGCAGCGTCACTTGACTGTTTCGATTCCACTAACGTCTGCGGAATCCGTATGGCAACATCGCCACTCACTGCAGCCACCTGCAGCCGAGCGCGCCCCGCGGCCACACCCAGACCGGAAGTCAGGACGCCCCGGGGGCTGACGGGAAGGCGCGGCCAGCCGCAAGCTCCGCAGGCCCGCCCCTCCGGTGACGTCATCGCCCGCCCCTTGACCCCCGGGGTGCCGCCCCCTTCCCTGCCTGCCCGTAGCCCGCGGCGCGGCGTTTCTCCGGAGGCGATGGAGGGATCCGAACCTGTGGCCGCACCTCGCGGGGAAGAGGCGTCCTGCTCTTCTTGGGGTGCCGCCAGGTGAGAGGACCCGTGTGGGCTCAGAAAGGCGAGGGGTGGCGGGCAGGACCCAGCGCCGCTCTCTGCTTCTCCCCATCGGGCGGGCAGGGAGCGCTCTAGAGGCCGCGGGGCCGGGGCAGGACCGGCCTGGGAGGCGCGGGGACCCCCCCAGGGTGGGTGTGGCGGCCCGGGCTCCGGCCTCCGGCCTCCGGGGCTCCCGGCTTCGCCGAGGAGAAAGTCCTTACTCTCCCCCTTTCAACGTTTCCTCAGTTCCGGTCGGGGTCTGCCATCCTCCTTTCTCGCAGTCACCGGGCGGGAAGGTGGCGGAGGGCGGCTCCGGCCGGGAGTCCTGGCCCGGTCCGCTCCCCAGACCTGTTGCCTAACAACACATGCTGCCCTCCCGTCGGTAAAATGAAAAGTAGGAGCTCCCCGGGGCGTCATCCTCCACCGCGAGCCTCCTTTTAAAACGATCACCTGGGGGAACTTGGTCATCATGAGTCAGTGACAGGACACCCCGAGGACTTCTGTGGACTACAGTTAAAAAAAAAAAATCAGGGAAAAGCCCGAGTGACCCATTCTTCTTTCCCAGTTGGTGCTGAGGTTCTTCACGGTTTGCTCGCTCCTGGAACATGAGGGTTCGTGTAGTTCCTGCTTCAGTGATCGCATAGTTAAAGCGTAGCTTTGTGTCCCGCCACCGCCAGAATACAGTCTGCCTGCGGTGGACATGGTGGACGCGAACCCGTAGCCTTTTCCCGAGCTGCAGGCTGAGGGATGCTTCTGATACCGGGGGATTGCCCGGCTTTGCCCACACTGCCACATGCACTCGGGGGGCATTGTGCAACGCTAACAGAAACTCCCCCTTTTTAAAGCATCTTTGATGGCCACCTAGATCTTAACACAAACGTGACTTGTGAACCATCCCAGCAAGGCAGGGCTTTCTGAACACTGCCAGTCACAGTAAGTGACAGGGCTGATGAGGCTGTAGGGCTTCTCACTTTCGCTAGAGAAAGTGTCCTAAGGATGAGAAAACTGTGTAGTAGGACATTTTACGTTCATATTTTGTTGCAATGCCCAAACAGGTTATTACAGTGGATGTGTAATAAGCACAGCTATTTTCTGGCTTGCTTTTGTAATTGCAATCAGGAATATTTCTCATAGTTATCCATTTAATTAAGTAGAAGCTGATAGCATTTAATGGTACCAAGCAATGTTTGGTAAGATTATATTTACAAACTAGAGGCCTGCAGTGGGGGTCCCTCAGTCTGGTCTGTGGCCTCTCACAATCCGAGACCCAAGGGCCAGAGAAGGACCACGGGAGGGCCCCAGGGCGTGTCCTGTCTTGCTCAGTCCCCATCTTCCGGACCCCAGCAGCAAGCTAACCTACTGGTGGAGCGTCTGCCCCCGGTGGTCAGTGCACATCATAGCAACTGGTCAAATGATCGGACACTTACCATATTAGGCTTTTATATATATACTAGGGGCCCAGTGCATGAATTCGTGCACCTTGAAAGGAACTGTGGGCCATGAGGCTGCTGTGGGCACGGGCGGGTCTTGGCCCATCCTCCACGCCCCCGCTCAGCCCCTCCCACTGTGGCCCCCAGTTCCATGTCTGCCAGCAGCCCCACTCCCATGCACTGACGGTACCGGCCCTGCTCGCACCCGCTGACTGAGTGGAGTGATTGGGGCCGGTGCCAACAGCAGGTGCGATCAGGGCCGGGGCCATCACTGGGTGTGAGCAGCAGCTGATGCCCCGACTGCTCCTCATGAGCAGAGGGAGGTAGAGAAGCCCTTAGGGGTGATCAGGACCGGTATCAGGCGCCAGCAGTGGGTATGAGAGGCAGCTCTGGCACCAGCAGCAGGTGAGAGTGGAGCCATTGCTGGCAGCAGTTGAGAGAGGCAGCTTCCAACCCTGAGCAGGGGGAAGTGGAGCAGGGGGAGGTAGAGAAGCATGCACCCCCGGTGGTCAGCGCACATCATAGTGACTGGTTGTTCAGTTGTTCCACTGTTTGGTCTATTTGCATATTAGCCTTTTAATATATAGGATATATAGATAGATCCTTTGACTTATATATCAATACCAGGCCTTAAAAAAAAAATGAGTTCTAAAACTGAACTTTCTTGCTACCACATTGTTTTTAGAATCCTGTAATTGATCACTAAAGCTTCCCAGAATATGGAATGGATTATACTTTTATTAAGATGATACTGATCTTAGCTGTCACAGTGGCTCAAGCCCAAATGCCTCAGGCTGGTTCCCTCTGCCAGGGAAGCATCTCTATTCCCAGTGCTTACCCTATTATCATTTTCTTTGCGTGCCATGCTTTAAAAAAATTGGGAGGAGCTATGGTAAAGGATACATTACCATAAGTATGTCTTGTCACACTGGTATGTTTAACTTTTAAAATTTACTCAACAGATATTTTTTGAGTGCTCTCTTTATTCCTACTACGTAAGAGGTTATAGGCAGTATAGTCTGGTGCCCAAGAGCTAGACTGCTTAGGTTCAGCTTCTGGCTCTGCCATTTGCCTGCTATGACTTTAGGAAAGTTATTTAAGTCATCCTTAGTTTTGTGGTGTTTTGTTTTATTCCTTCTGTTCAATGAAGATGATAATAGTGCCTATTTCATAAAGTTGTTGATAGGATTAACTGAGTTAGTACAGCTAAAGCATTTAAAAGGGTGTGGACACAGTGTTAACTCTCATTAAATGCCAGCTCTTTTAGGTATTTGGAATGCAGTAGTGACTTCTTAATGGATCATACATTCCATAGAGGAAAGCAGACAATAAACAGTTAATGATAAGTGATTTGAAGAAAATATAGCAGGTTAGTGAATTACGGAGTGACCTAAGGAGAAGGGGAGCCATTTCATTGATAGGGTGATCAGGAATGGTCTGCATAATATTTGTGAGGAAGTATTCAGAAAGAATATAGCCAGTGTAAAAATTAAAGTGATAGCAGGCTTGGCTTTTTGAGGAACAGCAAGTAGGCCAGCGAGGCTGAAGATAGTGAGCAAGGAGAGTTGTGGGAATTGAGATTGGAGAACTAATTGGGAGACCTTCAAAGTACTTCAGATAAAATATGATGGTCGTTTGGCCTGAGATTATACAGATTGAAATAGTGAGAAGTGATCAGATTTGAGATCTCCTTTGAAGGAAGAGCTTAACAGATGAAGAAAATGAGGGACAAATGAAAAAGATCCCTAGATTTTTTGGCCTGAGTAGGTAAATGGTAGGTAGTACCAGAAACTGAATTGGAAAGCACTGGGGAAGAATAGATTAAGCAGGGAGAATTGAATTCTGTTTTGGGCTTATTATATTTGTGATACTAATTGGACATCAGACTAGAGATATTGTTTTGGAAGATGTATAAAATCTAGAGGTCAGAGGAGAGATCAAACACAGAGAAAGAAGTTTCGATATCATCAGTATATGGTAAATTCCATGGATTGTATGAGATTATCTAGGGAAACTATATATTAGAGAAGGTTTGTGGGACACTACAAAACTGCTAAAATATAGATCCAAAAGAAATTATGCATCAGTGATAAAACAATGCCTAAGACTAAACAACCATGGGCTGTAATTTTGCAGTATACACAGAAAGAATATGCAATCGGTGAATTTAATTTTGACCTATTTTTTAAATCCAGGTAAAGTGGTAGATAATAAAATATATATCTGATTTGTAAAAGCTCCTTTAGTAACTGGTGAATCTGATACCATGTATAATTGAATGTTAATTACAGGATGTGAATATTGAATAATCGTGCTTGCCCTTAAGAGATTTTGTTTGGTTTTTTCAGTACAAATACACATTTGCCCGTGATGTCAACTGAATCTGTGGAGATTGATGATGCATTATACAGGTAAGAACCTTATGTAAACTGAAACTTATTTTCCCCATTCTTTGTTCTCAAATAATGAAGTAGTCTGTTTGAGGTTACCATTAGGCCTATGCCGAGTTTTGTAAATGTATCTTAAGAGTTGCTCTTGAGTTAAAATTAGATTTTCTGCAACTTCTTTTTTTAATTATGTGTAGTCTGAAAGCTAGAATAATATTTAAATCTCAGTTGCTTTAGGCCAAGCATGTCAAACTCGCCGCCCACAACGAATATTTTTGTGGCCCAGCCAACATAACGGTATATAAGAAATGTTTTAATAAAAATTTCATAACTTAATTTTTACAATATCCTGTTATACATAATTATTAATAACAAACTACAACGTTCGCTAATGACTGATTACTATAATCGTGTTGCATTCATTTCCCTTACGAGCCTTTTACACACAGGCGCACCATTTCTCTCCACTAATACTAGCAGTGAATATTTTAGCAGCCGATTGCCACATCATCAGTCTTGGACTGATTTGTTTGGTATGTGCAATAGGAAATTTTTCACTTTTGGAGAACAACAAAAATAGGTTTATTTGCATTACACTTATTGTGTAGTTATTCAGTGTCTGGTAAGTTAGTGTGCAAGAAAAAATATTAACTTCTATTAAAATATTCTATTATTTTATGTTAATGATTACTCATTTATTTCAGCCGTTTGTATTCAACATGTCTTTATCGAAATAAACCTTTATTTCTATGAAAATTAAAGCTTTTGTTTTTTGCGGCCCACATAAACTTAAACCTTTATGTGGCCCGTGTTAGCCTTTGAGTTTGACATGCTTGCTTTAGACAATATGACTAAGAATGATCCTGCGATCCACCACAAAATATACCTCTTGTTTTTGGACAGGAATATATATTTATGTTCTTAGTAGTACAGGAGTCTCATGAAAAATAGTCCATTCCACTTTATTTACTTATACAGTAGCATCTAAAGAATATTTATGTCAGTATAATCTCATTAATAACTTTGCACTCAATAAATAATGGAGAACTATTATGTGATTGAAGAGCTGTGATTTTAATGAAATTTAGTGAGACTTTATTTACCATACTTTTTCAGGAAATCAAAATAGTTTTTTCAAAATTAAAGTTAAATTAAAAACACATTTGTTGCTATTATTCCTAAGAAATTTTTTAGTACTTCAAGTTATTTGTATATAAGGTAGTATCTGTTCTAAAACTTTTAGGTTTCCTCTCATGTAATCACGAAAAATAAATTTCATGTAGATACAATTTGGAAAGATAAGCTCATTGTGTACTTTGAATTCCTCTGTGTATTTTTAATGTGGGGTACAGTATCATTTTTGAGCACTTTAGAAAGAGCTGATATGTTGACTTCAAATCCACTTGGAAAAAGTGGATGAAAGACTAACTTGATTTTGCTTATGTGAGAATTATTTTACCATATGTTCCCCCGATTATCAGTATACTTCAGAAGTCACCTTAGGTTTGTACTCTTAATCTATAATTATGTTGTTCTTTTTTTTTTTTTTTTTTTTTAATTATGTTGTTCTTAATGTCCTTTTGACCATATTCTTGGGATAACAAATGGCAGCTCTTTGAATTTTTTTGCTAATTTTATTCATTATTTTGTTAAAATCCCTATGAAACTTTTATATCCCTCCAACCCAGTAATTGCTAACTAATGAACATAATTTTCAGTAAGCCAGAGATTAAATTTTTTGTTTGCAATGCTATCTAAGTAGGCTGCAGTTTGCTTGAGACTGAAAGTTTTAGAATATAGCCGTTTAGGTATGGCATATAGTAGTAGTACATATATAATCAGGTATTGCTGGGTCATAAGGTAATTTTATTATTATTTTTTTTAGGAACATCATATTGTTTTCTGTTACTTTTAGACTAAAACATTCCCACCACCTGTGTACAAGGATTCAGATTTCTCCACATCCTTACCAACACTTATTATTTTCTGGGATTTTGTTTTTGTCTTTTTGTTTTGTTTTATAATGGCCATCCTAACAGATAGATATAAGGTGATATTGTGGTTTTGCATGTCTCTGACCATTAGTGATGTTGAACATCTTTTCATAACACACATAACATTTGTGTTATCTTTGGAGAAATGTCTCTTTTAGTCCTTGCACATTTTTAAATCAGATTATATGGTTGTTGTTTTTTTGTTGTTTTTTTTTAACTATAGAATTATAGTTCCGTATATTTTTGGTATTAACCCCTTATCAGATATATGATTTGCAAATATTTTCTCCCATTCTGTAGTTGCCTTTTCACTTTGTTGTTGTTTTTGTTACACAGAAACTTTTTAGTTTGAAGTAGTCCCACTTGTCTGTTTTTGCTTTTATGACCTGTGCTTTTGGGATCATACCTAGGAAATCTTTGTCAAAACCAATGTTTAGAAGCTGTTCCTCTGTTTTCTTCGAGGGGTTTTAGTTTCATGTGTTATCCTTAAGTCTTTAACCCATTTTGACTCCATCAAAAAATTATTAGACCTAATAAATGAATTTGACAATGTAGCAGGATACAAAATTAACGCCAAGAAATCTATGGCATTTTTATACACCAATATTGAACTTACAGAAAGAGAAATTAAAAAAAAAAAATCCCATTTACCATCAAACCAAAAAAATTAAGATACCTAGGAATAAATTTAACTAAGGAGGTAAAAGACCTGTACTCGGAAAACTACAGGACACTGAAAAAAGAGATAGAGGAAGACATAAACAGATGGAAGAACATACCATGTTCTTGGATTGGTAGAATCAACATCATTAAAATGTCCATACTACCCAAAGCAATCTATAGATTCAATGCATTCCCCATTAAAATACTAACAGCATATTTCACAGATCTAGAAAGAACTCTCCAAAAATTCATCTGGAATAAAAAGAGCCCCGAACAGCTGCAGCGATCCTGAGGAAGAAGAATAAAGTAGGAGGGATCTCAATGCCAGATATCAAGATGTATTACAAAGCCACTGTTCTCAAAACTGCCTGGGACTGGCACAAGAACAGACATATAGACCAATGGAATAAAATAGAGAACCCAGAAATCAACCCAAACCACTATGCTCAATATTTGACAAAGGAGGCAAGAACATACAGTGGAGTCAAGACAGTCTCTTCAATAAATGGTGTTAGGAAAATTGGACAGATACACGCAAAAAAAAATGAAACTAGGCCACCAACTTACACCATACACAAATAAAGCTCAAAATGGATAAAGGACTTAAACATAAGATGGGAAACCATACAAATATTAGAGGAGTCCATAGGCAGCAAAATCTCAGACATGTGCTGAAGCAATATCTTCACTGATACAGCTCCTAGGGCAATGGAAACTAAAGAGAAAATAAACAAGTGAGACTACATCAAAATAAAAAGCTTCTGCACAGCAAAAGAAACCATCAAAAAAACAACAAGAAAGCCCACTGCATGGGGGAACATATTTGGCAATGTTATCACTGGTAAGGGTTTAATCTCCAACATTTACAGGGAACGCATACAACTTAACAAAAGGAAGATAAACAACCTAATCAAAAAATGGGCAACGGACCTAAATAGATACTTTCCGAAAGAGGACATAAAGCAGGCCAAGAGACATGAAAACTTGCTCAAAGTCACTAATTATCCGAGAGATGCAAATCAAAACGACCATCTCACACCTGTCAGAATTGCTATCATCAACAAATGACAAGTGCTGGCGAGGATGCTGAGAAAAAGGAGCCCTCATGCACTGCTGGTGGGAAAGCAGACTGGTGCAGCCACTGTAGAGAACAGTATGGAGTTTCCTCAAAAAATTAAAAATGGAACTTCCATTTGACCAAGTAATCCCACTTCTAGGAATATATCCCAAAAAACCAGAAACACCAATCAGAAAGGATATATGCACCCCTATGTTCATAGCAGCACAATTTATCATAGCTAAGATTTGGAAGCAGCCTAAGTGCCCATCAGCAGATGAGTATATTAAAAAACTTTGGTACATCTACACAATGGAATACTACGCTGCAGTAAAAAAAAAAAAAAAAAAAAAAAAAAAAGAGGAATTCTTACCATTTGCAACAGCATAGATGGAACTGGAGAGCATTATGCTGAGCAAAATAAGCCAGTCAGAGAAAGATAAATATCACATGAAATCACTCATTTGTGGAATATAATGAACAACATAAACTGATGAACAAAAACAGATCCAGAGACAGAGAAGCATTGATCAGACTGTCAAACCTCAGGGAAAGTAGGGGAGGGTGGGTGTAAAGGGGAGAGATCAACCAAAGGACTTGTATGCATGCATATAAGCCTAACCAACGGACACAAACAACAGGGGGGTGAGGGCATGAGTGGGAGGGTTGCAGGGTGTAATGGGGGGATAAGTACACATATGTAATATCTTAATCAAGAAATAAAAATTTAAAAGACTCAAAAAAAGAACATCTTAGTCTAAAATTTTTATCTAAAATAATTAATATAAATTTACATTATTGAGTGCTAGTTTTTGGCATAAAGTAGCACTCAACACCATTTGGATCCCTTTTTCTTCCTCTTCCTATTCCCAAGCTTAATTAAATGCTTATTACACCCACTCAGTAACCTAAGATAGGAATATGGTGTCATCTTAGATTTTTTTCCCTATTTGTTATCCTCCAAATTCAATTAATTTTTAAAATGCTTCCAGTTCATTTTCTGAACAAATCTTAATTCCATCTCTTTCATTTCCTCTCCCTAAATTTGGCATCTTTCAATGATCTGTTATTCTTTTATGTGATCTCTTTAGAGCTACTCTTGCCTCTAATCTACCTTTCATACTTTATTTAGCAATTAATTCAGAAAATGTAAACGCTATGCAAATGATCCAAAACGAGTCTCTGGCCGGGATCTAGTTGCCAGGTTGTTTGCAAACAACTTTAAAAGGATATATAATTTCAATGACTTAATTTATTGTTTTTCATTGTGTTTTACATATAGTCGGCAGAGGTACGTTCTTGGAGACACAGCAATGCAGAAGATGGCCAAGTCCCATATTTTCTTAAGTGGTATGGGTGGTCTTGGTTTGGAAATTGGTAAGCAGTAGCTTTTATTTATAATTTTACATGACACTTTTGAGCGTAATTTCAAGATTTAATACCTTCCCCATGTATTATTTCTCTAAAGAAAATTAAATTCAAAACCTTAATCAGGTTTAATTATTTTGGAAAGACTACTTCGCAATACTGTTATATACTTCCAGAAAGAACCAGTAATGACTCTCTTGATTCTCTTTGTGATGTTAGTAGCCATTAGTGGTTATTCACTGTATTTGTTAATTTATTATGGTAGGCCACATATACATATATTTATAATAGTATATTTGGAAGAATACATTAAAATTTTAAGAGTAATTATCTCAGTGTGATATGATTATGGAAAATTTTATTTTTTATTTTTGTTAATCTGTACCTTCTTTGGGACATGTATTTCTTAAGTAGTAAAAAAGTTAAAATTATTTAGTCAGAGATGTGATGAAGCTCCATGAAGACATATCTGTTATACATTCCTAATATTGAGCTATTATTTTTCCTTTTTCTTTATAGCAAAGAATCTTGTTCTTGCAGGAATTAAGGTGAGTAAATGTCCTTGGTAAAAAGAATTATTTTTTATGAACTCTTCTTTTTATTTCTCTTTTGCTTCTCAGAAGTAATATTATTTACACTTTGAGTTAATTATTGCTTTTTTATTTAGTAGCAAAATTGTTTTAATTCTTCAGTCTTTTTTTAAAAACTTACAGAAAATTTAAAAATTTGAAAAAAAAAAGTTTTGACAAACCCCATGTACCCATCATGCAGCTACAATTATCAGCTCATAGACAAATTTTAATTTGTTTTCATGTATCTCCTCCCCATTCCCCACTGCCTACCCCAACCACCAAATTATTTTTGTGTAAGTTTCAGACATCCTATTATACACTCCTTAAATATTTTAGTACATAGTTCTAAAAGATAAGGGTCCCTTTTGAAAATATAACTACAATACCATTTTCACACCTAAAAAATGCTTCTTAATTTCACTGGATTAGTTATCTGTTGCTGCAAAGTAAATTACCCCACAACTTAGCAACTTAAACAGGAGAACCTATCTCAGTTTCTGTGACTCAGGAATCAGACACAACTTAGTTGGTTCCTCTGTTTGAGGGTTTCTAACAAGGCTCCAGTCAAGATATTGGCAGGGACTGCAGTCATCTAGGGTAAGGATCTGCTTCCCAAGGTGGCTCAGGTAGTTATTGAAAGGATTCAGTGGCAAAGTTGTGCCACTTCACATTCTCACCTCAGCTCCTTTCTAGCTGTTAATCAATTCCTTGCCATGTGGCCCTCTCCATAGGGCACTTTGCTTCATCAGAGTAAGCTAGCAAGAAGAAAAGAAAGGGAATGTTCTAGCACCGTGGTCGGCAAACTGCGGCTCGCGAGCCACATGTGGCTCTTTGGCCCCTTGAGTGTGGCTCTTCCTAAGCCTTAGGAGTACCCTAATTAAGTTAATAACAATGTACCTACCTATATAGTTTAAGTTTAAAAAATTTGGCTCTCAAAAGAAATTTCAATCGTTGTACTGTTGATATTTGGCTCTGTTGACTAATGAGTTTGCCGACCACTGTTCTAGCAGACCAGTCTTTAGTAATCTAATCTCAGAAGTGACATTCAATCCCCTCTGCTGTATTCCTCAAAAGCAAGTCACTAGGTCTTGCTTACACTCAAGGGGAGGGAATTACATAAAGGCCTAAATACCAGGAAATGAGAATTATTGGGGTCATCTTAAAAACCTACCACAATCATCAAATATCTAGTTAAAGTTCAAATTTTCCCAATTATCTTCTGAGATATTTTTTCAAAAATTTTTGTTCTAATCAAGATCCAAGTAAAGTCCGTACACTAAACTTGGTTTATTTTAATCTATAGATTTCCCTTCTCTGCCCCCGCCCCCTGCCCTTGCAATTTGTTAAAGAAACCAGATTATTTATCACATATACCTCTACTTCTGTATTTCCTGTAAACTGGTAGTTATATTCAGACAGTCAGATTCATATTTGATTCTTGTGGCGCCACTACTTCACAGGTGATATTTTGTTCTCCCCTGAGGAGGAAATAATATTCTGTTGTCTCTCTCTTTGTGGTTATTACTACCTATTAATGATTATTGCCTCTATTCATTATTTTATTAATGGCAGTGATATTCTAATTCTGTCATTCTTTTTATTTATTAGCTGGAATAATATTTAGAAAGAAAATTTGTCATTCATCACATATTTGGTTCTGCTAAAGTGGTACTATATGAAGAGCAGAAGAAATATTTGATATTTTCCCACTTTATTTACCAGTTTTCAAATCAGTGGCTTTTCTATCATCCCCCAGCAGTAGCCAGTGAACGTGTGTGTGTGTGTGTGTGTGTGTGTGTGTGTGTGTGTGTGTGTGTGTGTGTGAATATGATGACAAACTCAGATTTGATAGGTTTTGATCTGTTATAATAGCTGTTCTCATTGATGCTCATATTGTTTTACCTTTCCTTGTTCAGATCTTCTTCAAGTTCTTGAGTCCTCTTGGTACACCCCAGTAGTCTATGATTGCTACTGATTGTAAAATTTTTTCAGCAAAACAATTCCAGTATTAATAACAATATGATTACTAATCAAAAGCAGTTAAGTAATTTTAAAAAGCTTTAAGATTTTTTTTTGTAGTCACTTTAAGTCATTCCTTTGGGCAGTTATGCAACAAATTGAGTAGGTAGTTTTGTCCATTTATTTTGCTTGGATTTTTAGGGATTGCTTTTTTTGATTTAACGTAGTATTAATATTATGTGAGACTTAAAAAATTCAAAGTCAGTTTTATAAAACAAAGTATATTCAGGTAAGCCTAGCTTCTTTGTACCCTATACCTTCCTTTCCTAATTAGCTCACCCCCTTTTTCATCTGTTTTTAAATATAAACAAAACAGATAAATGTGAAAATTTTGTGTGTTTGTACATATTTATTCCCACCTGCCTTTCTTAGATAAAGAGCCATACTTTCCTCCATCTTGCTTTTTATCATTTAATAGTATGTTCTGAGTTTATCCCATATTGGTAATATATATATATATATATATATATATATATATATATATATATACATATACACACACACACATACATACACACACACACACACATGCATATATATGTATGTATGTGTATATATATATATATATATATGTGTGTGTGTATATATATATACACATACTAGAGGCCCGGTGCACAAAATTTGTGCAAGTGTAGGGTCCCTAGGCCTGGCCGGCGATCAGGGCCGATCAGGTTCCCCACCTCATGGCCTCCCTGTCTCCTCCTTCCCTCACTCCCTCAGAGCCCCACTGCCACCACTGGTTGCCCGCCATGTTCCGTGCCGCCCCTGGTGGTCAGCGCATGTCATAGCAAGTGATTGAACTTCCTGTCTCCTGGTCAAACTCCCAGGGGACAATTTGCATATTAGCCTTTTATTATATAGGATGTATTCCTTTTTTTTAAATAGCTGCATGGATATACATTTTGTCAATGTAGCATATATTATTATACCCACTTCTTCACTGATGGATGTTTTATTTCCAACCTTTTGCTATTATAAATAGTGTTGCAGTTAATACTCATATCCATGTCTTTTTGTATTTTTCCCAGTGTGTCTTTGATATAGATTTTTAAAGGTGGGATTACTATATCAAAGTATAAATGCACATGTCATTTTGCTAGAGATTGCAAAATTCTTTTCCATTGAGGTTGTGCAGCCTAACACTTCACCACTGATGTATTGAAATGCCTGATTCACCTCATTCTCATCAATAGGGTATATTGTCAAACTTTTGGACTTCATACCATTCCAGAATGAGAAAAGATATTTCATTTTTGAGCAAGATTGAACATGCTTCTATATTTTACAGGGCCAAATGCATTTCTTTTGCAGTATAATTTGTTTTCATATACCATGCCCCATTTTTTAAAACATCCTCGCCCGAGGGAGGGCTCTGGCTGGTTTGGCTCAGTTGGTTACAACATCCTCCCATACACAGGAAGGTTGTGGGTTGATATTTTGGTCAGGGCACATGCCTGAGTTGAGGTTTTAACCTTCATCAGGGCGCTTACAGGAGATAACCGATAATGTATCTCTCACATCTCTCTCTTTCTCTCCCTCCCTAAAAAGTCAATAAAAAATAAAATAAATCCTCACCCGAAAATATGTTTTCATTGATCTTTAGAGAGAGAGAAACATCAATGTAAGAGAGAAACATCGATCAGTTGCCTCCTGTTCTTGCTTCGACAAGGGATTGAACCCACAACCTTTTTGGTATACAGGACGATGCTCCTACAAACTGAGCTGTCACCTGACCAGAACCCATGCCTCCTTTTTTTAAATTAATTTCTTGTGGCCTGTAATACAAGTCATAAACATTTTTTTTATAGTTAGTCAATTATCTTTCTTACTTTGAACGTGGAACATTCGGAAATGCTTATTTATGTGAATTTTTAAATTTTTTATGTGATGCTTTATCTAAAATGCTGCTTTCCAAAAATTTAAATTCTCTTACTGTTGGAAATAGTTTTTTTCATTACTTTTTCTGGGTTTTCTGATATGTATAGTCATTTCATCTGTGAATAGATCTAATTTACGTCCTTTTTAATTCTTACGCCTTACTTTCTGTTGTTTAATTATGCAGGATAATATTTTTAATATAATGTAAATAATATTGTAGATGGTGAACATCCTTGTCCTATTTTGAATTAACAGATATTTTCCTTTTTTTGAAGGCACTTACAATTCATGATGTAAAGAAATGCCAAGCATGGGATCTAGGAACCAATTTCTTTCTCTGTGAAGATGATGTTGTTAATATGAGAAACAGGTGAAGATAAGATATTTTGATGTATTATCATAGGAAATATTTTTAAAATATATTTTTATTGATTCAGAAGGAAGAGAGAGGAAGGGAGAGATAGAAACATTAATGAGGAGAGAGAATCATTGATTGTCTGCCTCCTGCACACTCCCTACTGGGGATCATCGAGCCTGCAACCCAGGCACGTGCCCTTGACCAGAATCAAACCCAGGACCCTTTAGTCTGCAGGCCAACACTCTATTCACTGAGCCAAACCAGCTAGGGCAGGACATTATTTTTATTCTTGCAATTACTTATAATATTATCTGTATCCAGAACACTAGTTCATTCGTAGTTGTTTAACTCATCACCATAAAGCTATACTGCCATTGATAAATAAGTATTGGCATATATTTACTTAATTATATTTGTCAAATTTTTGAGATATTCACATTACTACCTAGGAATGTATTTCTTAAAGATTGTTAAAGTAAGTCTTTGTTGTTGCTGAATCATTAAAAGACTTAAGGAGTTTGGAGCTTGATACTATAAGGGTACACTTTGAGATTGTGTCTTACTATGAAATACAATAGTATGCTACATCTCAAGATTGTATAGTCATCTATAAATATAAATATGTCTCAGCTTTTTTTCTTCTACAGCGTATTAAATTTCTGTTGAAATTTTGTGACATTCAGATTCCTCTGCTGTAAAAGTGTCCAAGTTTGAGAGATTGAGTATATTGAATGAAAAAATACTAAAGGTCATTTCTTTTTTTTTTTTTTTTTTTTTTAAGGGCTGAAGCTGTTCTTCAACATATTGCAGAACTAAATCCATATGTTCATGTTACATCATCATCTCTTCCTTTAAATGAAGCTACAGATCTCTCCTTCTTAGATAAATACCAGGTTGGTGCACCATTTAATATTGGAGGTTATTGACAAATTTCAAGGCAAATCATTAAGTATTAATGTAAAATAACTAACCTCTTCAATCAAGCAGAAAAAAAATTTCAGGATAAAAGATTTCCTTTAGAATAATATATTTCTAATGCTTCATTTTAGGCAAAGGGCCTATAAACTTCTGACAAAGCAATTACATTAGTCAGCTATCTTCACAGTATTGTGCATAAAAATCTACCCCAAACGCAGTGGTTTATAGCAACATGTGTTTTTTTCTTTCTTATGTATTTGCATGTCAGTTGGAGTTCAGATATTCTAGATTGAACTTGAACTCCAGAGTCTGGGTTCTGCTCCATGTGCCTCTCTTCTGCGACCAGGGAGCTACCTGCTGTTGTCTGATGGCAACAGCAGAAATGCAAAGGGGCAAGTCCAACATTCTAAGCATATGTCAAGCCTCTGTTTTACTTCCATTTAATAAGACATTAGCCAAAGCAAGTCACACAGTCAAGCCCAAAGTAAAGGAATAGGAAAGTACACTCTTCTCTTCCTAAGGTCATGGGTTAAAGGTGATCTAATCCAGTTACAGAAATGTAAAACATGGGGATCTACTTCAGATAACCTTAAATAATAAAAATTCTAAACACTGTGGATATTCTAAAAGTGACTAGATTCACCCTGGTTTTCCCTATGATCAGATTATGGTGTTACCCATTGTCTAGGGGAAAAAAAATACTCGTATGTTTCTCCTCTACTCTTCTTCAGGCACCGTGTGACCATATATGTGTCAGTTTTCTCCCAACAAGAAGCAATTCTCTAACTCCGGCTGAGAATTTTGTACCATTGATGAAACAAGTTAAGATTCAATATATACTTAGTTAGAATATTTTTTAAATATGTTTTTATTGATTTTGGAGAGAGAGGAAGGTGAGAGAGAGGAAATCATCAATGACGAGAGAGAAACATCAGTCAGCTGCCTCCCACATGCCCTCTTCTGCGGATCGAGTCTGCAACCTGGGCATGTGCTGTGACTGGAATTAAACTGGTGTCCTCTTGGTACATGGGATGATGCTCAACCAATTAAGCCACACCAGACGGGATATACTTAGAATTGATTTTTATCCTGTTTACAAGCTAAGTCAATGTGTTACTATTTGATGAACACTGGCAAGACTACATCAGATTCTTGGGTTACAGACTTAAGAACTTTACTATTCAGAGCATGGTAAGAAGTATGAGTATTGGGGAGAAAACCAAGATGGCAGCATAGTAAACACTGGAAATTGCTGCCTCCCACAACAACTTCAAAAATACAACGAAAAGACAAAACGGACATCATCCAGAACTACAGGAAGGCTGGCTGAGTGGAAATTCTACAACTAGAAGGAAAGAGAAAAGCACACTGAGACCCAGAGGAGCTACGGAAGTAAAGTGCAGAAGTACGGAGGCTCTCGTGCGTGCGGAAAGGGGCTGGCACCTGAGGACGTGGCTTTTTGAATCGGGAGGGAGTCACAAGCTCCCGACTGCGCTGAACTCTGGTTCCGGGAAGTCTCTGGGGACCCAGGACTCATACGGGGAGAAACTGGACTGTCTGGCAGCAGGCAGAACTCGGAACTTGAGGGCGGTTTTCCCTCAGAGGTGCTTGTAGCAATTATCGGGACACTGAGACGCGCGCGGCCCCTTAGGGCAGGGCTGAGGGTCCACCATAGCTTCTTGCTCCGCCCTTTGATTCCCTGAGACCCCGCCCCACCCAGGCTGCGGCAGAGGCTTTTGCATATGAATGCCCTGGCCCTTTGCAACCTGAAAATTACCTAACAAATTGCAGCTGGGCCAGACAGACCCAGAACTTCCAAGAGAAGGCCCAAGGCCCCACAGCAGCTTGCATTGCTTCACAGCTGGGCCTCATCTGGGCACCTCCAAACTCCAAAAAAGGAAAGGGAATCTGCAGTTCTCTTCGTAGCTCCTGCTGGGTAACCTCAGGCAGAGGCTAAATTAGCACCTCCTTAGATCCAAGAGCCAGTGTACCCAGTGGTCAGAGTGGGACCATCCAGATTACAACTCCTCAGATTCATAAGGGACACACTCAGGGGGCAGGCTCAGTGAGCACCAAAGCCCCACTGAAGCAGGTCTTGCCCCAGAAGGGTGTCTTTAGCACAGAAGTTTGCCCACTGCAGACACTGCTGATTCTCACTGTAAATTGGCCTGGAGGTCAATTTTTCCCAGTGATCCAAAAACAATCAAGGCATAACTACAACAAGACTGTGCACAAAGCCCACAAGGGGGTGCACCAAGAGTGTCCACCTCAGGTAACTGGAGAGGCTGAGCCACTGGGCCCTACAGGACACCTAGCACACAAAACTACTCTACCAACACAGGGAAGCATAAAAAATGCGGAGACAAAGAAACAGGTCACAAAGGACAGAAATGGAGGAAAGCAAACGACTGGATATAGAGTTCAAAACCACGTTTATAAGGTTTTTCAAGAATTTTCTGGAAACCGCCGATAAATTTAGTGAGACCCTGGAGGATATGAAAAAAGACCCATTAGAAATTAAGCATACACTGACTGAAATAAAGAATAATATACAGAGATCCAACAGCAGACAAGAGGATCCCAAGAATCAAGTCAAAGATTTGAAATATGAAGAAACAAAAAATACCCAACCGAAAAAGAAAAAAGAATCCAAAAATATGAAGATAGTGTAAGGAGCCTCTGGGACAACTTCAAGCATACCAACATCTGAAATATAGGAGTACCAGAAGAAGAGAGAGAGCAAGATATTGAAAACCTATTTGAAGAAATAATGACAGAAAACTTGCCCTACCTGGTGAAAGAAATAGACTTACAAGTTCAGGAAGCGCAGAGAACCCTAAACAAAAGGAATCCAAAGAGGACCACACCAAGACACATCATAATTAAAATGCCAAGAGCAAAAGACAAAGAGAGAATCTTAAAAGCAGGAAGAGAAAGACAGTCAGTTACCTACAAGGGAGTACCCATACGACTGTCAGCTGATTTCTCAACAGAAACCATGCAGGCCAGAAGAGAGTGGCAAGAAATATTCAAAGTGATGAATAGCAAGAACCTACAACCAAGATTACTTTATCCAGCAAAGCTATCATTCAGAATAGAAGGTCAGATAAAGAGCTTCACAGATAAGAAAAAGCTAAAGGAGTTCATCACCACCAAACTAGCATCATATGAAATGCTGAAAGGTATTCTTTAAGAAGAGGAAAAAGAAAAAGGAACTCTTACCATTTGCCACAACATGGATGGAACTGGAGAGCATTATGCTAAGTGAAATAAGCCAGTCAGAGAAGGCTAAATACCACATGATCTCACTCATTTGTGGAATATAATGAACAACATAAACTGATGAACAAGGACTGATCCAGAGACGGAGAGGCATTGATTGGACTGTCAGGCCTTGGAGGGAAGGTAAGGGAGGGTGGGGGTAAGGGGGAAAGATCAACCAAAGGACTTATATGCAAGCATATAGGCCTAACCAATGGACACGGACAACAGGGGGGTGAGGGGGGTGAGGGCATGAGCGGGGGGCGGGGGGGAAGGGTCGGGGGTAACGTGGGGATAAGGACACATATGTAATATCTTAATCAATAAAAAATATATTTTAAAAAAAAGAAGTATGAGTATTGTATTTGCCTTGTTTCTTCTTGTCTTCCCCCAAATCCTAGTGAAGTGCAAGAGGGCACATGTAGTGGGTTCCTTTAGAAGAGAGGAACACTGAGCTTTGTCTTAATGTTTTACAGTAAGCAATAAACAAGTTTCCTTCTTTGTACCAGAGGGAGACATTACCTCATTCCTCAAGTTGTATGTGACAAATACTATCCTGAGAAATGGCACAAGTAAAAAATGGTCAGAACCTTGCATTCATGGTATACCTCGTGATACGTATAAAGTGAGAGACCCATGGAGAAATAATCTCCTTGTAGAAAGTATGCCACTAAATTAATACCTGGATATTTGTAGTAAAACTAAGTAATATAAGTCATGGAAACCAGCAACAACGAAAGCTCTAGACTAAGAGTCCAGCTCTGCTAATTACTCTAAGAAAGTATTTGACCTTTATCAATTATGATAAAATCTGATTATAAAATCTTCTTTACTTATCTCACAGGGTAATGATAAAAAATAAAGCATTGAAAATTAAATTTGATATTTATTACAGAACTTTGTGGTTTCACTAATGAAACTATTAAAGCAGAAGTAGTTATATTGTGAATCTGTTGAATCTCTGAAGTAAGAGAAAACTAAGCCAACTAATATATCTCTTTAAAAATGTCATTGTTAATCCTTTAGGCTAACTAAATACTTTAAATTAGTATTCTGGTGACTAGGTTTGTATTTTCATAGCAGTAACAGACAAAACAAAAGCTCTAATCATTTGGAGTGCATAAATTCCACAGGAAATTACAGTTTGCTTCTAATTGTGAAGTCTATGATGGTAATAGAATTTAATGTGAGTAGGTTTTTCCTTGTTTATGTTGTTTTTGCTTTTATTATTCCACTAGAGGCCCAGTGCACGAAATTCGTGCACGATGTTTTTGTGTGAGTGTGTGTGTGTGTGTGTGTGTGTGTGTGTGTGTGTGTTGGGGGGGTGTCCCTCAGCCAGGCCTGCACCCTCTCCAATTAGGGACCCCTTGGGGGATGTCCGACTGCCGGTTTAGGCCTGATCCCTGTGGACCTAAACCGGCAGTTGGACATCCCTCTCTGAATCCTTGACCGCTGGCTCCTAACAACTTGCCTGCCTGCCTATCTGATTGCCTTTAACCGCTTCTGCCTGCCAGCCTGATCGCCCCCTAACCGCTCCCCTGCTGGCCTGATTGACGCCTAACTGCTCCCCTGCCAGCCTGATCGCCCACAACTACCCTCCCCTGCTGGCCTGATCGCCCACAACTGCCCCCCTCTGCTGTGACCTGCCTCCTCCTCTGGGACCCACCACCTCCGTGCCAGGCGGTGGAGACACCGAGACTGGCCTCTTCAGTGTTGCGCAGAGCCACGAGACCCCCAGGCCTCACTGCGTGAAGTGGCCACCAGGCCCCACCTCCGCTGTGTGTGCGGCCATCTTGTGTCGGCCATCTTATGATGACATGAGAGTGTGACACCACCTAGGTTATTATTAGCATAGATACCTCTGAGGATATTAACTTTTGGTGGGAATCCTATTGTATTTTGAGTATAAAATTGAAATGCTTCTGATTTAGAAGTTGTACATTACCAAAATAATTGTGTATTCTTTAGTTTTTAGTCTTTATTTTTTTTTTTCTCAACAGTGTGTAGTATTGACTGAGGTCAGACTTCCATTGCAGAAGAAAATCAATGAGTTTTGCCGTTCTCAGTGCCCTCCAATTAAGGTAATAGTATCACTTAATAATGACAGGTAGTTAACCATAGGAAGGACACTTGCACTATTAAAATTTTTAGCTTTTCATTGGATTATATAAAAGTTCTTTTTATATGAGGACAATCACAGTAATATTTTTTTCTTTAAATTTGGTATATTTATTTCATATTTTTAAAACTAAGATCTAAATTTGGTTTATAGACAGATTACCAAAACTAAGGAAGAATAAAGACTAGAAATAAAAAGGATAATAAATAGTGAATTCATCATCTAACTTTAGTATGGTATGGTGATGATACTTTGGTTCTTTTAACAAATTCACTAAACATATACAGTTCTAGACACTAGGAATACATTAGTGAATAGGACATACAAATTTTCCTACTTGTGAAAATAAACAAATAAGTCCTTCAGGTCCTATGAAGAAAAGAGCTAGGTAAAGAATAGAGTATAACATCCTCATGATGTTAGGATGGGGGCCAGTGCTGGTTCTCTTAGACCAGTGGTTCTCAGCCTTCTGGCCCTTTAAATACAGTTCCTCATGTTGTGACCCAACCATAAAATTTTCGTTGCTACTTCATAACTGTAACGTTGCTACTGTTAGGAATCGTAATGTAAATATCTGATATGCAGGATTGTCTTAGGCAACCCCTGTGAAAGGGTCCTTCGACTGCCAAAGGGGTCGCGACCCACAGGTTGAGAACCGCTGTCTTAGAATGAATGTCAGGGAACATCTTCTCTGAGATGATATTTGAATAGAGCCCTGAATGATGAGAAAGAACCAGCTAAGTACACATCTGAGGAAGAGCATTCAAAGCAATGAGAAGTGCAAGTATAAAGTGCAAGTATAAAGACTTGCGAGTATACAACTTCACTTGGTATGTTTGAAAAGCAGAAGGAAGCAAGCAGGACCGGAATGGGAGTTTGGTTAAAGAGAGAGCAGTAGGAGTAAAAGATGCTGGAGGATTAGGTTGGAGAAATAGTTAGAAGACCATTTTCTTGTAGATCACAGTTAAGAATGTCTGAGTTTCAAGACTGTGAGTTTTGATTTAATTTACATTTTGTAAAGATCATTCTGATTGTGCTGAGTGGAGAGAAGACTCTAGCAGTAGTTTTTAAAAGTGTAGTCCAAGGACACAGACCCTTTCATAAAATTTCATATTACTAAGATGTTATTTGCATTTTTCACTCTGGTTCTCTTATGTGGCACAGTCTTTGATGTGTAGTGATACAATTGCTCTGACAGCTAATATAGTGTGTGTGTGTGTATTCTTGGGTTTTAAATGTTTCTCAGTTTTAATATCTAACACATTGGATATCAGTAGGTATAACTGGCATAAATAAGAGCTCTTTGGGCCCTCAGTAATTTTTAGGAACATGAAGGGGTTATGAAACCAAAAAGAGCACTATTGAATAATGAATAGCATAGAGGCAGGTAGGCCAGTTAGGGGCTAATGCAGTAATCCAGGTGAGAGATATTGATGCCTTATTCAAGAGAGGAGCAAATATGGATTGTGAGTCATTGAACTTGTTTAAAAAAAAGAAAAAGAAAAAGAAAAGGCTAGCAGAACTTGAGAGTTGGATCAATGCGAGTTGTGAAGGAAAGAATGACCAAGAATAACTCCTAGCTTTTGGTCCAGATTAATTAGGTAAGTAGTAGTGACACTGGGAATATTGGAAAGAGATTTAGATGAGAAAATGCAAAATTCTTTCTCTGCAATTGAGTACATATTGCTAATTCCACCTCCTTAGTGAGACATTTGTTTCTTTGGAAAAAGCTATTCATCCTGTTTAAATGGCCACCACGTCATAATTGTACTATATAAAATGGGTGTACTTTCAGATTGTGGTATTACATAGCATTTTTACACTTTGCAGAACATTTGTGCTATGGTTCATAATTTAAATTAAACAGATGAGTAAGACATGGAATGGTCAGTAAATTTATAATAGGTCACATAAGTTTTACAAAATAATTACAGTAGTTTATAAACTTAAATACTTGTTTATGTAGTTGATACATATATTCACATTTTAAAAGTTGTTTTGAAAAGGAAGAAATTGTCCTCAAGTCTGAGCTTTTAAACTTAAATATATAAAAGTTTTACTCGATGTTATATCTCATAAAAATGGCTATATGTACTATTTTGACAGTAAAGGTAATACATGATCAAGTAAGAGAGAGTATAACTCTAAAAATAACTGAACACGAAAACTGTTTCTGTACAGATTTAAAATAGTGGAGAGTGTAGTATAATAAAAATCACTTTAACGCATTTATGATTCCGTTGAAGAATCTCATTTTTACCTTTTGTCAGTTCCTCAGCCCTTTATCTGTTGACTCCACTCAGCTTTTAGCCCTGTTCTCTTTTCTCTTAACTACTGCTTTTGGTGAATGGACACACCATTCTTTTCTAAAATGAAAAGTAAAAATTCACTGCTAGACCATGAAATCAAGATAATCTGCTTCTTACATACTGTACTTGTAAGGTAAGAATTTTTGTTATCTAAAAATCATAGAATATATAATGATGATGTGCAGACGTTGCTTCTAATTTTATAACATTAGATATCAAGTCCCAAATACCAAAATCCTTGATTCCTGAACCAATTTACAGGAAAATAATTTATTCTCTTCATGTTTTACTTTATATCCCAAACGATATACTTAATTGTAAGTGAAATTGTCATAAAAGAGCCTAAGATAGTTGAGCTGTTTTTTTTTATATAAATAGATAAGCTTGAACTTTTTTTATTATTTTACAGTTCATTAGTGCAGATATACATGGAATTTGGTCACAGTTGTTTTGTGATTTTGGTGATGAATTTGAAGTTTTAGATACAACAGGAGAAGAACCAAAAGAAATCTTCATTTCAAATATCACGCAAGTATGATTGTATATGTATATTGTATACATATGTATAGGATTAATTTTTTAAGTTGATGTGAATATTATTTTTTAAAGGTGGTATTAGCAAAATATTGTAATATGCAATATTTTTTAGTTGTTTTACAAGATTTTAAGGTAATTCTTGAGAGATATTTTGTTAATTTCTTTATTGTATTATATTTAAAGCTAAATTTAAGTTAGACTATTAAAAGAGTACTCCTGCCTGGCCGATGTGACTCAGTGGTTGAGTATGGACCTATGAACCAGCAGGTCATGGTTCTCTTCCCAGTCAAGCCATATGCCTGGGTTGCAGACTCGGCTCAATCCCCAGTAGGGGGCATGCAGGAGGCAGCCGATCAATGATTCTCATCATTGATGTTTCTATCTCTCCCGCTCTGAAATCAGTAATACTACATCTTTTTTAAAAAGAGTATTCCTGATTCCTTCTAACATTACTTAACAACTAGAGGCCCGATACATGAAAATTTGTGAAAGAGTAGGCCTTCCTTCCCCTTGCACCAGCTTCCCTTCGGCACCTGGGACCCAGGCTGGCTTCCCTTTGGCCCTGGCTTCGTCAGGAATGATGTCCAGAATGACGTCCAAAAGACGTCTGGTCTAATGAACATATTACTCCTCTATTATTATAGGTTGGTAGACCAATATTTGCTTATGTCATATATTTTCTTTTAATCTTCATTTGAGGATATGTTTTTATTGATTTTTAGAAAGAGAGAAAGGGAGAGAGACAAACAACGATGTGAGAGAAACATCACTCAGTTGCCTCCCATATGCACCCAACGAGGGATCAAACTCGAAACCTAAGTATATGCCCTGACCCAGAATCGAACCTGCAACCTTTTGGTGTACAGGATGACACTCCAGCCAACTGAGCAACCTGGCCTGGGCACAAATGTCATAAATTTTAATTTTGTTCTATTTCATGTTCTTATGGGACATGAACTGTGATTCAGTGTTTGCTGAATTGTTCATTGTGTCAGATCATAGATGTAACTTTGATATGAGTCACCTGGACCACCACAGTGACTCTAGAGAGATGCACACTTAAATTATCATAGACAAAAGCTGTTATATTTCTAAAACATTTGGAGGAAGAAAAAAGTTTTAAGAATTAACTAATCTTCAAATCAAAAGGTATTTGATCAGCTTAATTTTTTTATTTCCTATAAAGGAAAAAATCATTATGATTCATTTTTACTCTTTCTTTTTAGCCTAAATCATTAACTTCATTTGCACTTTTTATAATCAGTTTACATTAAAAGCTCCAAAGAAGTCAACATAAGTGAATGATAATGTATTTTTGATAGTACATTATCTTTATGCTTTATTTTTTAACCCAATGTAATGTTGCCTTTTTTTAAGAAAAATTTATTGAAAAATTCTGTGCATCTCTCTCTTAGCAGAATGGTTTATTATTTAGCCTTTTATCTTCTATAGTTCTTTTTGGTTTGTCCCTGAGAATATCATATAGTTAGAATAAGCTCCAAGGGAGATTATGGATTCTTGTATTGCATTGGTCTTTTCTTTTATTGAATAAAGCAGGAAATAAGAAGTTATCCATAAAGAATTAGAAAATATCATACATGTGCCCATTTAAATTATCTGCAAGGAATTCTTTCTCCTTAATAAATTCCATGAGATACTAGCAAACCCATATCACATTACATGTTTGTGATCATAATTTTTAGAATCTACACTATTATGAAAGAGAGAATGATAATTTCATTAGATTTTATATAGATTATTATCACTTTAGTCAAGAAGTGTACAGGATTATGTGCCATTAGAAACTGTCTGGGCCTTTCACCTGTCTCATCCATCCTCTTTGGTGAAATAAGCTAATTCATTTTTGTTTTTATCCTGAGAAGCTGGCTGGGCTACATGTATTTCTTTGCTTTAAATGTTGCAACTCTTACTGGACTCTCTGTTTCCCCCATGCATAAAAATTATATTTTAAGCATTTAAAATAAAATAAATTGATCATTATTTTGTTGCACTTATTTAAAGAGAAGAATGGCTTGGAACTTGGTTGGGGGGGCGGGGGAGGGGTTGAGAATTTTATAATTACATGGTATTTTTTTTGTATGGGATTGGGAATTTGTACGAAAAAAGTAATACTTGAACTTGTTTGTTAGTAGATTACTCTTATTTTTAGGCTAATCCTGGCATTGTCACCTGCCTTGAAAATCATCCTCACAAACTTGAGACAGGACAATTTCTAACATTTCGAGAAGTTAATGGAATGACAGGCTTAAATGGATCTACACAACAAATAACTGGTAAGTTGATGTGTTTTATTAATTCATTTATAATTACTCATTATTCTGCACATTTATAAGTCTTTATAAGTTTAGCAAGAAAACCTACCCAGTTTTGGTGCTACAGTAGTACAGACAAGGTGTCTTGATTCAAATTTGTTGATTGGATTGACTTAGGAAGGTGGTGAAAAGATTATTGTATTCAGAGACAGAGGCATTCAAGGAACTGAAAGATGTGCTATGGCAGGGCTGGCAGTTGTAGTTAAGATAGCAAGAGTCCTAAGACATTTCAGAGGAAACTTTATATGTTATATATCTCATTAGGTGAACAGCATTTGCAACATATTTATTCACTTATCTATATAGATAGATAGATATACTTAAATAGAGTTTAAAATGAGTACTATTTCAAGCCTCCTCCTTGCTCCAGAGGTAACTAAGTAGCTAAGTTTGATGTTTATTCTGCTGGTCTTTTCTCTCTACTTAATCTATGGATGACTTATGGGGAGAAAGAACTTACTGTTTATTTCATTTAATTTTTTTAATAAGGAAATTGTTCAAACACAATAAAGGTCAGATTTTACAGTGAAAACTTTCCTGCCTACCTACGGTTCCCACTCAGTTCTCATCCATTCACTGGTTCTTAGTTTATTATGTGTCCTTCCTGGCTTTCCTTACATTTTTTTACATATAGTGTATCATATTATACATCTACCCTTTGCCTTTTCATTAAACTAAATAGCTACATGATCTTTTCACATTAATAATTGCAGAACATTCTTTTTGTTTTTCCTTTAAGTTTTCTTTATGGCTGCGTATTATTTCATATTACTTAATGAGTTGTATCACAGTATAATTTAAATTTGCATTTTACACATTATGAATGAGATAAGTGTATTTTCTTAAGTTTTAGGGCTATTAGTTCTTTTTTTTCTTTTTTTTTTAAAATATATTTTATTGATTTTTCACAGAGAGGAAGGGAGAGAGACAGAGAGCCAGAAACATCGACGAGAGAGAAGCGTCGATCAGCCGCCTCCCGCACATCCCCCACCGGGGATGTGCCCGCAACCCAGGCACACGCCCCCGACTGGAATCGGACCCGGGACCCCTCAGTCCGCAGGCTGGCGCTCCATCCACTGAGCCACACCGGCTTCGGCTAGGGCTATTAGTTCTTTAATATGAATCATCTATCATTTGCCCTTTTTCCTGTTGAGTTGTTGATTATTTAACCATTCCTTGGAATTCCTAAAATATAAGGCATATCTGTCAGTGTTTTTTATATAAATTGCAAATTTTTTTCTAGTTTGGCATTTGACTTTGCTTATGATTTGTTTTTACTATGTGTATATATCAAATTTAAAAAGTTTTCTCTTATGATTTTTATTTTATTAGAAAAGCCTTCCTCACTGCAAAGTTTTGAAGAAATTTTTCTCCCATTCTTCTGTCTTAATATATTTTTCTCATCTTCAACGTTTAAAACATTTATCCATTTGGAATAGATATTTTGCCAGATGGCATTTTTCCCGAAAGTTTTATTGAATAATCTTATTGTTTCCTCACTGGTTTGAGGTGCCATTTCCTTAATTGTATCCCTTGTGAGCCTGTTTCTGAGTTCTCTAATATATTGTTTGTTTGCCTGTCTATTCGTGAGCCAGTACCATGCTATATTAATTGTTATTAATTATGTGTAATTAGTACCAACATTAGTTATTGAGGTTTTATAACATATTTAAATATCTAATAAGCACCTGCCATTAATTTTTTTCCCTTTGAGTTTTCTTGGCTATTTTTAAGTACTTAAATTCACATTGGAAAAATACTTTGTCTAGCTCTCCACACTTCTTCCTACCTCTATACCCCCCTGCTCCCCCCCCCCCAAAAAAAAAGATTTATATTGGGATCTTCTTAATTTTGTAAATTATGGGAAATTAACATCTTGATAAACCTTGAAATTCAAATTTATATCAGTAAATAATGGTTTTCTTTTTTTTCTTTTAGTGCTATCACCATTTTCTTTTAGCATTGGTGATACTACAGGACTGGAACCTTATTTACATGGAGGCATAGCTGTCCAAATTAAGACTCCTAAAACATTTTACTTTGTAAGTATTTCTTTTTCTGCTTTAAAAAAAAATATTTCTCTACAGAAGAAGAATGGCAGAAGAGAAAAAAAGTAATAAAATGAATAGTCAGTTAACCAAACACTTAATTTAAAGCCTGAACAGATTTTATTCTTTTAATTTGCACCCACTTTGAGGAAAATGGTATCAATCTAAGGAAATAAGCTGGTATCAACAAAATATGAACAGCTAGAATACCATATGCATATAATTGAGGTAAAAATTACATTAAAGGAATTATACCTTTGTGAATCATCGGAGTCAATCATACTCTTACAATTACTTCCTAAAACAAAAGATGAAACAGTGTATATTTTATTATTCGCTTACATTTTTAAAGTAAATGGAATATTTTTTAAATGTTTACATTTTTTTAAATTTCAAGAAACAGTGTAAATGTTGGAAAAATAAAGTAGTTCCTATCATATGGCATTGAAAAGGAAAATCTAAGTATCTGAATAGAGAAAATGCAAAGGCTACTTATATCAAGGAACTCAGGAGTCTCTTGCCACTTAAATCTTTAGCCCACTTCTGAGTATAAGCTAATACATTGTTTTTTCTTACAAGTTCTCGTGGTTTTAATGAGATTGCCTTTTCTTTTTCAGAATTATTATTAACTGTAGTCCTCTATGAGGCTTTGTTTAAGCCAGTTAGAACAACGAACAGATTAAAATAACCACTGATAGTCAAATCTGCCCCTGCCTTACTTCCTCTTGCCCCTGTCCCTAATTTTTAAATTGATAATTTATGCTTCAAGTAAATTTCAGATTATGTAGGTGGTTGGGGGAATTGTTTTTGTTTGTTTGATTGGTTATTTGGTGTTTTGGTCTTTGTAATTTTGAGTTTTCTAGTCTTGTCAGTCATAACAAGTCTTGATAACTTGATAACAGAAAAATATGGTAGCTTTTCAGTTAAAACAATAAATTTTTTTTCAATTACATACAAATGTTTTTGCCATTTCTTCCCAAATTTATTATGTGGGTCAGGTTGCCTGATTGCATTTAACATTTTTTTTAAAAATGTGGTAATAAGACAGGGGGTAACAGGAAAATTAGGAGCTATTTTATGTTTCAGCTAAAACTTAGTAGCCCAGGCTTCTGGTCAAGATGGCATCAACAGTATTCCAGTGGGAAGTAGACTTTTAGTATCAAATCATTCTGAGTCCTATTTAGTTTATTTGGACCTAGTAGCTCAATCAATGTTGGCTCAGTGGATTAGTGAATAAGTTATTCTTAATACTACTTAAAAAAAAAACTTTAATAGCCCAACGTTATTTCAGATTTTTTGGAAAGTTCCGTTACTTTTAGTATTCTGTATATTTTGCCAAATAATCACTCACTTGCAACAGAGTAAATTGTTTTGTTTTGTTTCTATTAGGAGTCGTTGGAGAAGCAGATAAAACACCCAAAGTGCCTTATTGCGGATTTTAGCAAACCTGAGGTAAACAAACACTTAGAAGGTTTTAAGAGAGGCGGCAGAATGGGGGATTGGGATTGGTAAGAGGTTATAAAGTTAAAATGGAGTAACCATGTATATACCTTTCTGTAAGATTTTCTTGATAAAGGTTGTTTCACATATATAAAGTTGACTTCCAGTGATTATAAACAGAAATTTATATCATGGAAAAATGTTAAAATAATAGGAAAAAGTTTTAGAATGATATGTTATCTTTGCTAGTTAAAAGACAGTTTTTAGTTATTTATGCAAGGTAATCTTATTAAAAGATTTTTCTGAACCATGTAGAGTTCATATAATAGCTCTTTTCTCAAAAAGCCTTGGAAGCATTTATTTTTAAAAAAATCAAAGGATATAATTTTGTAGCAGTGAATGTAATTGTGATAAGAAAAGAATTATATTGACAGATTCCAAATTTGGAAATGTTGATAAGGAAAAAAGAAGAAAGTGATCTTATACAAATATTTTGATGCATTTGTTTAGTTGATATTACTCTAAGTTTCATATAGATAACTTAGTAAAAACTGGTCATACCACCTGGGATTGAGACTTAAATCTATTGTTTACTAGTAATATTACTTTATTGCCTTGAAGTCAAGTCATTTGACTTCTCGAAGATTCAGCTCCCTCCTCTGTTAATAATAATATTGAGCTAATTAATTTATTGTAATGATTAAATTAAATAATGTTTTAAAACATTAGCACAGTGCCTAGCACATATTACATTGACCTCTTTTTAATGTTCTAATTAGGCACCTTTAGAGATTCACACAGCTATGCTTGCCTTGGACCAATTTCAGGAGAACTACGGTCGCAAGACAAATATTGGGTAACATTCTTTGTTTGAAATAACTTTTTCCTTTTTTCTTTGTTATAAAACAGTATTTCAGTTTATGAAAACATATTTGATGTTATAATTATAGTTAAATTCAAGTGTACTGTTTAAAATGCATGCATGTGCATGAATTTAGTACCCAAACCAAAAATGATACAATGTGCAATTTGTATTTACTGTTGAAAAGGACACATTATTTTTACATAATTATTTAAAAGTAAATGGAAGCATGTGTAACATTGTTAGTTGGAAAAAAATGATATTTGTCCTTAAATGTTATGAACATTATTAGATGACACTTAAATAAATGTTCTAATATAATACTGACAAAAAAACAGTATTTCAGAAATTATAGTTTAAAACATTTAAAAAGTAATTAAGCATCTTAAAATTGCAACACCAGTAGGTACCCCAAACTATAGAAACATTTTTTATGACTTCCTGGTCTTCCTAGTGAGAGTAGAGAGATTAATTTATAAAATTGGAATTACATTAAATAAGACTTTTCCCATTTTTAATTCTTCAAAAGCTACAACTTTTTAAAATGAAAAATATGATATTAATTCAGTTATGAAATCCATTACATAATTTTTCTCTTTCTAGCCTATTAAGTCAGAAGTATTGTTCTTAGATGAGCATGATTTTAAGTAATGTAGTTGTGAGCCAGTGTTCAAGTCAGTAAAGCACTTGTGCTTCTACCTGTTAGTAAAATTCCACATTTTTCTACATATATCTTAGATTTGAATATGATCTATTGTTTATTGCATTTGAGAAAACTGAATTTGAGGTGCTTTGTTTTGAACCCTAGATGCAAAAATGATGTAGAAGAGCTGTTGAAACTAGCATCATCTATAAGGGAAACCTTGGAAGAGAAGGTGAGTATTGAAAATTACAGCTATCAAAGTGTAACATATAAATGTTCTGTATATAAATTTTCTCTTAACCTTCAAATCCAAACTTTGCTACTTATTGATTCTGACAGGAGACAAGTTACTTGGCTGCATTCTGTTTTAATTTATAAATTTATAAAATGTTAACATGCCTCAGAGAGTTCTTGTGTATAATAGATAATTTAATCTTTTAAGGTACTTAGAACAGTATGTGGCATATAGTAATTTGAAATTGTCACTGCTCTCTATTTTTTTTTTGTTTTTTTTGTTTGTTTTTTTTACAAAATAGTTGCTCTCTATTTTTAGTATTACTATTTTCTCTTCTGATTTACTTGGTTTGTTAAATCGAAATATATGTAAACTACTATATAAACTCATTAGCTTTCCTATATATAAATTGTCTCTTTTATAAGTTATATATTCATATCTCTTAATTGCATTTTGCATATCATGTGTGGACATATCACCTGGAAAATGGTTTTTTTCATGTTACGGTGCCAGTGCCTGCTGGCCAACAGTTTCATTGTAGCAGATATAAATGTAGCAATGTTTGTGCAGTTATTTGAAAATTATGTTGTTTATGTTGTTACTTTATAAAAATGAAGGAGAAATGAAAGTCTTAACATTAATAAGAATAATATCTCATATTTTATGTAATTAAAGAAGAAAAAAATAAGTGTACTGAAAACAGTGAATCACTAGTCATAAATGAAAGCCCTTTTATTGCATGTAGAGTGGTTAGAAAAATGTCTGAAAGGTTAAGAACCTTATGATTTCACTCATGTAGAATATCAAACAAAAAAACAAATGAATAAACAAAAACAGACTCTTAGATATACTTTTAATCTACCACTTAGAGCACAAACTGATAGCTAGCTCCTCATCATTTATATGGGTCATTTTATTTTCATTTATCTTTTTTCAAGGTTTTTCCATAGTTTTCTTAAAACTTTTTTTACAAATTCTGGTTCTTTCTAAATATTGACAGACATCACAGAACTGTTATTTAACAAAACCTCTAGATGTTAGATATTTCATTTAATTCTAAATGGTGTGTTTGTGTCACATAAAGAGTAAAAAAGCAAAAATGGCAGGTACTGATAAAGAGAAATATGTACTGCTTGGGAAACTAACATTCAACTGGGTCTTTTATTGTAAGATTAGAACTTTTTTTAGGACTTAAAAACTGTTTTAATGTTTTCATTGATTTTTAGAGAGAGAGGAAAGGAGAGGGAAAGTTAGAAACATCTTTGAAAAACAGCCATTCTGCTGCCTCCTGCACACCCTTACTGGGGGTCAGGCCTGCAACCTGGTCATGTGACTGACTCAGAATCATATTGGTAACCTTCTGTTGCATGGGATGACACTTAATCCACTGAGCCACAGAGGCTGGGCAGGACTTTAAAACTATTTAGTTAGAGAAACTGAGTGGCTTTTTTTGAAGTTTAGCTATAAAAAATTCTCACATTAAGTAATTGAAGGTTTGAATGTACTATGTGAATACTGTTAATACTGTGGTCTTTCCTGGCTTTTGTTTCAGCCTGAAGTAAATGCTGACGTTGTACGTTGGCTCTCTTGGACTGCTCAAGGCTTTTTACCCCCACTTGCTGCAGCAGTAGGAGGTGTTGCCAGCCAAGAAGTATTGAAATCTGTGACAGGAAAGTTTTCTCCTTTGTGCCAGTGGGTTAGTTCTGTATTTTAGTATTGTTTTATATTTAAGGTTGAATTATCCATCTATACAATGAATTTCTGTTAGGAATTTTTGTATTAATATATTATAAAAGCAACCTTACAATATTTTTTGATGCATGAGAGAGATCTGATATGCTACCAAAACTTAATTCTGTGATTGAAACTGATATGATCATATATTGAGGCTGTTGGATTATAACCCAGAGTTGCATTCTAGGATATATTTCCCTCATTTGTGACAGTTAGGGTATGAATTTTCTATCCTTATATTTAGTCTCCTGTATTATTAGGTTAGCATTCATGGACTCTCAGGATTTGAACTTGTTCTGAAATTATGACTTCCTAGCTCATTTCCTCTATAGTGTATGCAATTATAAGTGACATATAATATCCCGCAAGCTGGAAAATAAATGTAGAATAGGTACTTATCAAACAGTAATCAAGGATGTACATGAGGTGGTGCCATCCTATATAATAAAAGCCCAGCGACCAAAACAGTGGAACGACCAGAGACCAGAACCACCACGGCCCCTCACTGGGGCTGGCTCTGCCCCCCTGCAAGTGGTTAGGGGCGATCAAGCAGGCAGGCGAGCGGTTAGGGAGCGATCAGGCAAGCAGGCGAGCGGTTAGGGGTGATGAGACAGGCAGGCAGAGCACCACAATCCATCGCCTCAAAGAGGGAGACCCAGGCTGCCCACCATAGCCTGCGGGAGGGATGCTCGGCGGCTGTGATGAAAGGCGCTGGCAGCGGTGGAAGCTGCAGGGCAGGGCTGGCACCATGGCGGCTCCTGAGCGGGCATGGCGCCTGCAGCCTGGCCCAGGCCCTAGGTTGCAGCCTCCGCCCACGGCTTCTGCAGGTCTGGACTGCCACTCCTGCTATGATGCCTGGGCAGATCCTGGACCCTTCTAAGACTGTGGGCTCTCTGCCAGGACTCGGCCCCCTGACTGGACTCCCAGCTCGGACCTGACAGCAGAAGAGCTGAAATATGCTGACATCCACAACAATGGGGCCATGATCACCCCTTTGCACTTCCTGGAGGTGAAACTGGGCAAGAGGCCGCAACCTGTGAAAAGTGGGCTAGACGAGGAGTGGAGGAGGAAAAGGTGCCAGGCAAAGAACAAAGTGGCGGCAGTCCGATGCTGGAACAAAAAGGAGTGGATGGAGTTTCTGCAGTGGGAATCTGAGTGGTTAGAGCTCATGAATGCAGAGCTGAAAACCCAGATGGAGGAGCTGAAGCAGGAGCAGCAGCAGCTCATCCTGATGCTCAACCGGCATCGCCCCATCTGCATCATCAGGACCAACAGTGTTAAGACCCCCAACTAAGAAGGCAACCCACTGCTGGAGCAGCTGGAGAAGAAGTGATCATGGGCTGGGAGGAGGAGGAGATGGGGAGACGAAGGAGGAGGAGGGTCCCAGAGGGCTCTTCCTTGCTGCATGAAAAACTCTTCAATGAGGCTCAGCACAGCCAGCATCGGCCAGGCTTTTTTGTGAAACTCAGATCAGCCACACCAGGGGAAGAAACCCAGGCTGATGAAACCCAGGACCAAGCGCTAAAACCAAAGTAGTCCTGAGAGGGGGCTGTTCTGCCTGGGGCAGGGTTGCAGGGGGCAGGACAGAGGCTCTGGGCCGGAGAGATGCCCAACCGGGCAGCTGTGGACACTTCTCCAGCATCTCCACCAGGGCACCCACCCAAAGGACCTCCGAGCAGTCAGGAAAAGCCATGAGTTGGAACCAAAATTAGGCTGAGTATGGAACTCAGAGGGAAACTGCAGTCTGCCTGCCCCCAGCCCTGACCCTGACCCTGACACAAGGCTGGAGAAGGGCACAGTGCCAGACCCTGCTGTACCCACCCACCGTGGTCCAGCTCAGTCCTGCCCAGGGTGGCAGCCGGGGCACACCCTCGCCGGCCCTGCTGGAGTTGCTGTGGGCATGAGACATGGGCACCCTTCCAAAGTACATACTCACTGAATGTTTATAGACTGGCTGTCCTGACAGGGCTCTCAACTGCACATGTTTTTTATACTTTTTAAAAATATTTTTTATTAAAAAAAAAAATATTTTATGCAAGCAATATGTAAATGGATTTCTATAATCACTCAATGTGATACAGTATAAATATGCTATGGTTTGTTTGTTACGAACAGATACGCATCAGTTATGGCCGGTGCTTGTAACTTCTAAGTACTGTAGTCTGGGTGTTGGGGGTGGCAGGGGCAGGGGTGCGGTGCATTTCCATACTGGTAAACCCTTCATAGTATTCAGTTCTGTGTCGCTCAGTAAACATTACTCTTAAAAGAGAGAGAGAGAGAGAGAGAGAGAGAGAGAGAGGCCCAGGCTACCTGGCCGGGGTTGCTTCGGCGGGTGGGCAGGGCCTGCCTCTGCAGGGTGATCGATCTGGGGGCCCTTCCCTCGCTTGCCCCACAGAGGGAGGCCCAGGCCACCGGCCAGCGACGCTCGCTGGCGAGTGTGTGGGGCCAGCCAGTGTTCGCACCCTATGCCTGTCACCTGCAGAGGGAGGCAACTGGCGGCAGGGGACAGCACTGCAGAGATGGCAAGCAGGGACGGGGGCGGGGCAAGCTGCCAACAGCCAGGGAAGAAAAGCCCGGATAGGCCCTGATGTCAGGCCAGGCCTAGGGACCCTACCCAAGGGGTCCCGGATTGCAAGAGGGTGCAGGCCAGGCTGAGGGACCCCCGACCCCGCTCCCGAGTGCACGAATTTTGGGGCACCCGGGCCTCTAGTAAGAATATAAGACCCCAAAGAGGCATTGGGCAGTTGAAGCTTATATGCCATCTGGACAAACGAGAGGGAGGCAGGGGCCTGGGATTTCAAAGGGAAAGCAGGCAATTTATATAAATAGATGAAAAAGATCAAACATATAGTAAACAAATTCTGGCTGGGATACAGAGGGAAGTTCACCAAACAGGCTTTGCTAGATTCCTACCTTGTTGCCACATTTATGTTGCTAAGGTGATGCTCCCTTCCTTTCAGCAGGTTTTTCTATTTGAACTCTTTTAGGTAGGTGAAATGAGAGGGTCAAAGGATCTTTTTAAGTCTTTAATAACCAGCTTAAAATCAAATTCCCAAAAGGCATATTTTGGGGTGGCAAAACTTTGTTCCTCTTCATTACTTATTCAGATGTAGCTAAAATTAAATGGGACTTCCAGAGTTTTTATGTAGTTATAGAAAATAGATTTGGAGGTGAAGTTTTCTTTTGTTTGTTAAAACAAACATCTTTAAGATGGCTAAATTACATGAATCAAATTATATCTTTTAACAGATCCTTCAGGTTTACTCATTGCTTTAATGAAAGAATACAGGAGTGTATATATAAAAACAATTACATTTTGAATCTATTATTTTATTCTATATTGGTATTTTATTATTTTTCTTAATTATTAAATAACTACAGAAGAGAACTACTTTTTCTCTTAAGTTCTATACATAGTAAGTTATTTTTTTATCTTCTACTTTAAGTTATACATTGAAGCAGCAGATATTGTCGAGTTCCTAAGCAAACCGGAACGGGAAGAATTTCTCCCACGGTAATACTGGGATTTCTGTTGTTTTTTTCTTATTTGTATATTTGTAATAGGCAACCAGATTAAAAGAGCTTTTTTTAACATGTAGTTGTTTTAAATTAAATGTCTTTTCTGAAACCTAGCCCATTTGCTTCTGCAGTCATTTCCCTTTTTAGAGGTGACATGTCATAATGCCATATGTCTTTACCACTTTATAAATTATATATTTTTATGAGAATGGTTAGCATTCAAAATACCACTCTGTTGAACAGTTGCTATCTGCAGCTTTTATTTGTATCAGTGATTCACCTTTTTGAGTCACAAATCTCTGAGAATCTGATTAAAGCTTATGGATTCATTCGCTCCAAAATCACATACCCCAAAAGTTCTGCCTTCAATTTAAACTACTTTAAGTTTGTGTCAACAATGAAACTAATCTTAATGTTTTAAATGCCTTTCTGTTTTCTTTGCTATGTTCTTTTCTTCAGAGGAGATAGATATGATGCCTTACGAGCCTGCATTGGAGACACTTTGTGTCAGAAGCTACAAAATTTGAATATCTTCTTAGTAAGTATAATAATGATGAAAATAAATAGTACATTCAAACTGCTATTATATATCATCAAGTAAATTTATTAAAGCAAATTTGACTATAAAATGAGTAGTTTCTAACATAGTAGACATTCAGTAAATCTTTAGAACAGGAGTTTACAGACTGTGGCTGGCAAACCAAATCCATCTTCCTACTTGTTAATAAAGTTTCATTGGAGCACATTCACTTATTATTGTCTAGAATTTCTTTTCTGCTACAATACTAGTTTGACAGAGACCATATGGAGTGAAGCTGAAAATATTTGCTGTTTGGCCCTTTACAGAAAATATTTGCCAACCCCTGATCTAAGGAATTAATACATTTAAGATGAAAATATGTGTATTATAGTTTTGAACATTCCATAATTTCTAGAAATACATTAAAATTGGTTGGGTGTTTGTTTGTTTTTTGTGTTTCTTTTTTCTCTCTCACCAAATGGAGGAATATGGAGGTGCATTCTATCTTTCTTAAATTACTAGAGAATCTTTTTTATTAAAATACTAGAGGCCCAGTGCATGGATTTGTGCACCCATGGGGTCCTGCAGCCTGGCCTGCGCCCTCTTGTAATGTGGGACCCCTCGGGGGATGTAGTAGTGCACAAAGCAGCAGGTGGCCAGGGAGGAGCCTGAGCCCAGACCGGGCACTGCACCGCTTTTGCTCATCCCCGCCCCGCTGCTCCTGCTGCTGCCACCACTCAGTAGTGCTACTGTGGAGGCGGGAGAGGCTCATGCCATCGCAGTTGTGCTTGTCAGCCATGAGCCCGGCATCTGGAGCCCCGTGTCTGGCGTCTGTCAGTCAGCTGAGCGGCGCTCCCACTGTGGGAGCGCACTGACCACCATAGGGCTGCTCCTGCATTGAGTGTCAGTGTGTGTCATAGCAACTGGTCACTTAGGGTTTTATATATATACAAGATTCGTGCACTGGGGGAGGGGGTCCCTCAGCCCGGCCTGTGTCCTCTTGCAGCCTGGGACCCCACTGCCTGCAGTGGAGGTGGGAGAGGCTCCTGCCACCACTGCTGCGCTCACCAGCTGTGAGTCTGGCTTCTGGCTGAGTGGCGCTCCCCCTATGGGAGTACACTGACCACTAGGGGGCAGCTCATGCGTTGAGTGTCTGCCCCCTGCTGGTCAGTGCGCGTCATAGTGACTGGTCGTTCCGCCGTTTGGTTGGTTTGCATATTACGCTTTTATTATATGGGATAGATTGCACTGATGATTTTTGCTGTTTGTTTTTAGCTTATATTTAAAAAAGGAGCTCACTATTTGGCTTTCCTTGGAATTTTAAAATGTTTTCTCTTTGAAGGAAAGGCAGATATTGTGCTTTTTCTTACTTTTTTTAAAATTATATATTTTATTCATGTTTTTAAATTTTATTTTATTGTTTAAGGTATTACAAATAGTACATATGTCTCCTTTCCCCCCCCCATTGACCTCCCTTCAGCCTCCCTTACCCCCCGGCACTTGCCCTCACCGCCGCCCGCTGCCCGCCCACCCCCCCCACACTCCAGTGTCTTGCATCTGTTGGTTTTGCTTATATGCATGCATACAAGTCCTTTGGTTGATCTCTTACCCGCCCCCCCTCCCCCAACCATCCCCTACCTCTCGCTGTAGTTTGACAGTCTTACTTTGGTTTATACCTTTTTTTTATTTTCTGTAACTGAGACACTTAATAATGGCATCATAAACCAGTTAAAACTTTAAACTAAAATAATCAAACATGTTAAAGTTATTTTTAAAGTGTTTATTGTGAGTTATTGTGCATTTGATGAAAATTATTATGAAATTGCTCTTTAGTAAGTAGAAGCTTTGATTTTATTTACTTTGATATATTTTTCTTCTCCATAGGTAGGATGTGGAGCCATAGGCTGTGAAATGTTAAAAAATTTTGCTTTACTTGGTGTTGGCACAAGCAAAGAGAAGGGAATGGTAAGACAAAAATCTTTGAGAGTTAAAGTGTATACATATTTTTTTTGGTGTCCACTTTTTTTTATATATATATTTTATTGATTTTTTATAGGGAGGAAGGGAGAGAGATAGTTAGAAACATCAATGAAAGAGAAACATCGATCAGCTGCCTCCTGCACATCTCCTCCTGAGGATGTGCCTGCAACCCAGGTACATGCCCTTGACCGGAATCGAACCCGGGACCTTTCAGTCCGCAGGCCGACGCTCTATCCGCTGAGCCAAACCGGTTTCGGCAGGTGTCCACTTTTGAACTGCATAGATCTGAAGTATTGAATTTTGAGGATAGGTTAAGCTAGAAATTGAAAGATTCTGATTCTACTGTGACCACTTGTCAAAATTTATGCAACCCCGTGGCAAAATGCTTTAATTCTTTGCTCCTAAATTTCATTCTTTAATACTGTGCAGCTGATATCTGTACAACCTACCTCATAATGTTATTATGAAGATCAAATGTGAAAGAGCTTTGGAAACTTTAAAGTATATAAATATTGTTATTATTTTATTAGATACTAGTTAATTATTAAGTAAATCTTAAAAATAGGAGGAACTAACATTAGGAAGACTAATCAGATATAATTTCAGTTAGTGATTATCAAAAGAAGGAAATAATATAGACTTGTGTATACAATTTAAATTCTTAAGACTATAAGTGTGAGTTACTTGGGAAGCCATGTCATATATTTTAATAAAAATATATTTCAAATTAAGATGTAAACTAGCTTCCCAGAGTATTGACTTCAGATTTATCATGGTGACTAATAGCGAATAATTTTATAGTTAATTAAACTTGGCTTATTGTTTCACTCAAAGAGGTTATTCGTTATTCCTGCTCAGTATTTCTAAATGTTGTATTCTACAAGCTGCTATTAATTCTAGTGGTTTTAAAATACATTTCTCAAAAAAAAAATACTTGGTTGCATGCATTTGGCAATCCCCTGAATACTTTTAACTTCTTGTAAATTCACAATGCATAGCTATATATATATAAAAGCCTAAGCGACTGTTATGACTGGTCGACCAAATGACCAGTCAACCAGTTGCTATGACACGCACTAACCACCAGGGGGAAGATGCTCAACGCAGGAGCTTCCCCCTGGTGGTCAGTGTGCTCCCACAGCTAACCTCCTGTGTCCAACCATCCTCCCACAGTCTCTCCCCGCCCCTGGCCAGCCAACCTTCCAGCTCCAATCAGCCCGATCGGGACTGGGTGAGATAGGCCCCAATTGGCCCTGATCACCGGCCAAGCAAGGGATCCCACCCGTGCACAGATTCGTGCACTAGGCCTCTAGTTAGCATATAAAGATTAGAAAAAGAGTTTCAGTAAACAAACCTACTGACTTCAGGTAACAAAACAAGGTATTAATTGGGACAGATTTTTATCTTATTGCAAAGACATCGACTTGCTGTGTAAAAAAGTTTTTTTAAGTCTTTACATAGGTAGCAAAACTAACTGAAAAGAAGGAAAGAGAAACAAGGTTCCAGGAAACAAAAGAGGAATTAATTCCTAAACTAAAAGTTGTGGTGACTTCTAAGCATTTGTCTTTTTCTTTTCTTTTCTTTTTTTATTTTTGTTGATTTTTATTTTTATTTTTATTTTTTTAAAAATATTTTTTATTGATTTTTTTTTTTACAGAGAGGAAGGGAGAGGAATAGAGAGTTAGAAACATCGATGAGAGAGAAACATCGATCAGCTGCCTCCTGCACACCCCCTACTGGGGATGTGCCCGCAACCAAGGTACATGCCCTTGACTGGAATCGAACCTGGGACCCTTCAGTCCGCAGGCCGACGCTCTATCCACTGAGCCAAACCAGTCAGGGCTTTTGTTGATTTTTAGAGAGAGAAAGTGAGAGAGAGGTGGGGGTCATCAATTTGTTGTTCCACCTGTTTATGTAATCATTGGTTGATTCTTGCCGACCAGAGATTGAACCTGCGACCTTGGTGCGTTTGGACAGTGCTCTAACCAACTGAATTACCAGGCCAAGGCCAACCATTTCTGTCTGGAATATTTGTCCAAAACATTAAATAGAAAGAGAAGTCACTCATGACAAATTAAAACACAGAGCATGCACCACACTGGTAAATGGGGTCCAAAATTATACAAAAATTTTAAGCAGAAAATTAATATAGCAAATTTAGGACCATTGAAACCTCTAGAGTTCTGACTAAAACAAATGCAAAACTGCATCATGACGATTCACAATAAAAAGTGATAATCAGCTAGGAAAAAAGTACCACCTAGAAAAACAATCAGCCAAGGAAAATGGAAAAATTAGTAATCTCTAAGTAATGTAGGTAATAGGAGTGCTACAGATAATAGAAAAATCTAGAGATAATAGAACAAACTTAAAAATGAAGTTAGAAATGATCAGAGATTAAAGTAAATAAATAAAAAGAGAAATGATCAAAGATAAAAAAGAGGAAAAGAAACTGGGAAAAGGCACTGAAATTTTTCACAAAAAGCTGAATAAGAACTTCTATATAGTAAGTGAGCTCAAAATTCAAATATAGCTGAAGTGAGAATTTATTGGAAATTGCATAGTCCAATGTAAGTGCAGAATTTCCATAGAGAATGAGGAAGAGACAGTTTCCAAGGATAATGGCAAAAGTTTTAATTTTGGATGATAAGTGCATGATGCATTATGCAGATGATATGTTATAGAGTTGTATACTTGAAATTTGGTTTTATTAATGTCATTTCAATAAATTCAATTTTAAAAAGTAAACATAAAGTAATGAAAACTGAGATATGGACAACAACCACCAAAATGAAAAGAGACAAGTGTGTTCAAACAAATCAAAGGCAAAGAGAAAAAGAGAAATTACCTAATAGACTTCTCATCAACAAGAAATGCATACCTATGCCCTGGCTGGTGTGCTCAGTTAGTTGAGTGTCAGTCACTGATTCAGTTACTAGTTAGGGCACATGGCCGGGTTACAAGCTCATTCCCCAGTAGGGGGCTGCAGGAGGCAGTCAATGGATGTTCCTCGCATCAATGTTTCTCTCTTTAAAAATCAATAAAAACATTTTTTTTTAAAGAAATGCAGCCCTAACCGGTTTGGCTCAGTGGATAGAGCATCGGCCTGCGGACTGGGGGGTCCCAGGTTGGATTCCGGTCAAGGGCATGTACCTTGGTTGTGGGCACATCCCCAGTAGGGAGTGTGCAGGAGGCAGTTGTTCGATGTTTCTCTCTCATCGATGTTTCTAGCTCCCTACACATCCCCAGTAGGGAGTGTGCAGGAGGCAGTTGTTCGATGTTTCTCTCTCATCGATGTTTCTAGCTCTCTATCCCTCTCCCTTCCTCTCTGTAAAAAAAAAAGTCAATAAAATGTATTTTAAAAAAAAAAGAAAAGAAAAACAAATGCACACCTAAAGATAGGGAATCAGATCTTCACAGTGCAAGGTCAAATTACTATCAACCCAGATTTCTGTACCCAGCTAATTATCCTTCAAGACAAGTAAAGATATTTGACAAGTAAAATGATGAAAAACTATCACTTACTGGTTCTCACTGAAAGAATTATTATATAACATGAACAATTCATGAAGCAAGGATAAGCAGAGACATTTGTCAATATCTTAGACCGACTTTTAAAGCCTTTAAAATATTATCTGATTTGGAAGTGGATGGTTAAAAATAAGTAAAATGTTCATTTATTACATGGAAAATAGAAGGGAGACTTTAGATATCCTCTAATTGTCCAGAAGCAAGATATTTTAATTAATTTTAGATAAATCACATATGCATGTTTAAATTTTGAATTTAATCACATAAAAGTAAATGTTTAACTTGCTTGATCTGTTCCTTTGCTAAGCATTAATTATAATTAAGTTTAAGTATAAAAGAGTAGTAATGGTAATCAATTTTGAATATTTGTATTCATATAATTTTTACTAGCCAAAATAATTTAGAATAATGGTGGGAGTTGTTTCAGTCATCCCGAGAAAAACAAAATAGATTTAAACTTATTAGTTACATAATTTCAGCCATTGTCTTTTCTTGATATTAGGTTACAATTACAGATCCTGACTTGATAGAAAAATCTAACTTGAACAGGCAGTTCTTATTTCGTCCTCATCACATACAGGTATGTTGCTATGTGTTTCAAATTTAAATCATCTGTTGTGTTATACAAAACAGAAGAGAATTTCCTTTTAATATATAGAAAATGGTGCTTGACAAGCATAATATATTCTTTATTTATTAGAACCTCAAATTACCAAATAATGGGAATGATTATAGAGGAAACTATTTTTTAATATAAAAATTGGTTTTTCAATGATTTTGGATTGTTGTGAATTGTGTGTGGTATTTTTTTTCATTTTATAATCACCAAATTATGTCAACATGTTTTATTTTAGAAACTATATATATATATATATACATACACATACACACACACACACACACACACACACACACAGAAACATTTTCTCAATTTGAAGTGTTCAAATTTAGCACTTATTATTTTGTGCTGTATTGATTTTGTCTGATTAATATCCCTTTTTATTATAAAATAATGCTTTTCCATCTTTTTCATAGTGATCCAAATATTTAAGTCAGAAAAAGAAGCAGTTTAGTCAGTCAAGCAAATTTGCTTTTACTTTTGAAATTTTTTTTTTATTTTTTAATGACTCGTAATCATAGCTTAAGAATGTCATAAACAGAAAAGTAACTAAAGCAGGTGGCATAGTTAACGTAATTGACTCACTTATCCAAATATTAAGAACTAAATAACAGGGTCTTTCATGAACTATAAAATGTATGTCACAAAATTAATTTACTTAACTGTGCATTTAACTTAGAGAAGAACTTGGCCTATTTATTATTTTACTGAGTTCTAGCAAAGTTTCTGCTTTGTATGTATATTAACAGCACTGAGAAATAAAAGCATGTCAACTAAACAGTGTGAGAAGAGATAGAAATACCATATTAAAACTATGTTCATGTATTCAAACAGAATGGTCTATACACATTTAGTGTCAAAACCATTGTTTCCAAGTGAACTTTATTGACATTTAAAATGACACCAATAATCTTTAAAAAAAATAATGAATTATGTTTAGGGTACATTTTTTAAATAAAACTTGAAACATGTAATAATTTTTTTAAATATTTATATCCAAAAATAGTAAAATTTTTTAAAGATTTTATTCTCAAAGTGTTAAATTACCGTACGTTTGAGAGCTTATTTTATGTAGTTTGAATTTCTAATAAGGTACTGAATGTATTCTCATCTTTTTCTGGGCACTTAGCCAATTTATAACTAGGAAGAACAATGTGCTTTTAGTTGGACTTTTAACTAGTTGTTGTTTTTTAATTGATTTGAGAGAGAGAGAGAGAGAGAGAGAGAGAGAGAGAGAGAGAGAGAGAGAGGAACATCAGTTTGTTGTTCCTCTTATTTATGCATTCATTGGTTGACTCTTATATGTATCCTGACCAGGGATCCAACCTGCATCTGTGAGGTATCGGGAAGATGCTCTAATCAACTGAGCTGCCCGGACAGGGCCTAACTAATATTTCAAGAACTCTAAAGCATTTAGCTGTAAAAGAGGTTGTTTAAATTTCAATGTGTAAATTATTTAGGCTGCTGGGCACTATTAAATGTAGCCTGAATACAGTCTGAATGTAATTTCCACAAACTAAAACATGAACTTGATCTCATTCTCACCTCCATATATATTTTCCAGAGTGACAAGAATGTGTAAGTTCAATCATAGGCTGTCTTTTTCTGTTTAACATTTATTTCTTCTGTTTGTTGTTGTTTGTTTAGAAACCTAAAAGCTATACTGCTGCTGATGCCACCCTGAAAATAAATCCTCAAGTAAAAATAGATGCACACTTGAACAAAGTATGTCCAGCCACTGAGGCTATTTACAGTGATGAGTTCTATAATAAACAAGATATAATTATTACAGCATTAGATAATGTGGAAGCCAGGAGATATGTGGACAGGTATGTAATTGAAATTTGGGTTCATTGTCTTTATTTTTTTAATTTTTTAAATGCTTTTATTGATTTTAGTGAGAGGGAGAAAGAGAGACGTCAGTGTGAGAAACATCAATCAGCCGCCTCCTACATGCTCCCTCCATTCTAAATTAATGGAGCCGCAACCCAGGCATAGTCCTGACTAGGAATTGGACCTGCAATCATGCAAACTCTCAGTGCATGGGTTAGTGCTCAGCCAACAGAGCCACACTGGCCAGGGCATCATTGTATTTTTTGTTCGTTTTCACTTCTGTTTCCCATACCTATTTGTTGAAAAGTGACTTAATTTTTTAATTATTCTTTATGTTGCTAATATAATACTTCCCAAACCCTGTGATGATTTCTCATTATACCTAGGATAAAATTTAAAATCTTGAACATGGCCTCAATTTTTTTTATAGTGTCTGTCACTTACTTGCCCACCTCTCCACCTTAACATTTACCTATTCCTTCCTGGCTCCCCTTATTCCAGCTACACATTTTTTTTTCAATTCTTACAGAGCATTCAGCATTTCTTTAATTATTATTACTATAAATTCGTGCAAGGGGCTTGGCCCTCACAACTGTGGCGGCTGCCCTCAGCCCTCGCAGCCCTGGCTTCATCCAGAACGTCGTCTGGAAGGACGTCCAGAAGGTCATTCAGCTGTCCGGTCATATTACTCTTTTATTATTATTGATTTTTTTTACCTCAGAGACTTGCACATACTCTTCTTCAGCCTCAGGAAATTATGTTTATGTTTTCTTAAAACTCCTGATCCCAAATTTACCTATTTACTTCTCACCTACCTTTGTTTTTTTCTTCACCCTATAGTTGCAACATAAATGTCTTTCTTTAACTGCCAAATTCTAAATTAAAATATCCTATGGTAATCTTCTATAGCACTAAGCATTTTCCTTCATAGCACTTATTTTATTGATGCACATATTCATTTAATGTTTTTTTCCTCATTAAATCATTTATTTTGGAACCATTTATTTTCCCATCACTGTATCACTGGTGTTCAACACATGATGTCATTCAGTAAATATTAGTGAAATAAGAAGAATGAATGACTATAATGTGTACATCTTACATAATTTTTCTTACATTTTTATATGCCTCTTGAATGTTAGGGTGTTAGAGCAGATATATTAACAGAAAAATTTATCAGTTGAGAGTATAGTGGAAAATTTATTTTTCCTTCCATGGTCAGAAGAAGGAAAAATAACTTTAATAAATTGTATAGAATACAGGTATTATAAATATTTAAGAAGGTATAGTATTATTTGGAATTAAGAAAGTATTGAGAAGATACAGTGGGCTAGAACCTATAGCCAGAAAGTAACCAAAGAAGAAATAGGAAGCAAAAGTAGAAAGGATAACATAGCTAAAAGTTAACCTAATGGAAAACAAGCCCAAAATGTGGTGGTGGTGGTGGTAGAAGGTAGAGACAAAAATGACTAGATTGAACAACATAATTTGTTGGGGGAAGGGTACAGAAATGATTAATGGGTTGTTTGGTGGTAATGTATGTTTCCTAAAATATTATAGTTCAGTAGTGATCAGTGTGTGAAGTGGTCAGTAGACAGTGGTAGGATTTCCTCTGCCTGCATTGCTATTGCTTACTTTTGTGCTTGTTTCGTATTGTCTTTTCAAATAGCCGTTCTGTAGCAAATCTACGGCCCCTCCTGGATTCTGGAACAATGGGCACTAAGGGACACACTGAAGTTATTGTACCTCATTTGACCGAATCTTATAGTAGTCATGTAAGTGAACCAATTTTTTTAAGTAAATGTCTTTTCTTTATATCTCATCATTTTATTATCTTCATCAGTACACAAATTTGATTTAGCTTCTCTAATCCTGGTTTGATCTGCCAGTGATATTCATACATAAGTGTATGTACAATTTTAAAAATATATCTGAACTGATTTTTTTAAAATCAAAATTTTGGTTTGGAGTCTATTCTTTTGTTTACTGTTTATTTCTCAAAGCTGCTTGATTAGTTTTCTAACAACCATTCAACTGTAACTCATGAAATATTAGGGATCAAACTATATATATATAGGGGTTTTTTTTACTATAAATGATATAGAGATATAACTTTTTTAAACCCCTACAAGTAATCTTGATATACTGATGAAGCTGAAAATTACTGGCCTAAAAAATAATTGCAGGCTTTAGGATTTAAAGAAAGATCAACCTAAGTCGTAAAATTAAAAGAAGTATATATATATTTTTTCTTTTTGTTTTTTTTTCTCTTTTTTAAATAAGTATATTTTTTACATTTGTAAATATCCTTTATTTAATGAAAATGTTTAGCTTAGTAAAATTTCAAATATTTTATATTTTCTCATTTACTCTCATGAAATCAACGTTATATAATAAAAACATAGAAAACAAATTGAGGAATTTAATTTGATGGAAATTAGATGGAGGAAATCATGATATGTTGGTTGTTATGTTAGAAATTTTTCAAAGTAGAGAATATTATAAAATTCCAGAAGTTCCATTGATCCTCTTGTTCTATATCTTTCTCAAACCTTTTCCTGTCTTCTCTGACCTCATACTCAAAATTGGAATTTAATAATCTTCTGACTTACCTCTTTGGTTTATATTTTATGGTATTTCAAAAATCAACAAACTAAAATATAAATATCCATTAAAAAGAGACCAAGTGAGTAATTTACATTGGGTAAACAAATAAGCATAGGCAAAATGTACCCTCTACAGGATATAAAATTTTTTCAGTGGTTCCTTTTTATCTGAGACAGTATAGGCATTTGCCATTTACTTTACACACTTTCTACTCAAAGCTGTACCAAGCATCAAGGACATATTCATGTTCCCCAGTTTTTTTCTCCATGGAGAAACTCATGGTATGCTGAGCACTGTATTGGGGATTCTTGAATTACTTTTCATAATAGGGAGTAGTATAAAGTTTTAAATGTAACCTTGATTCTGGGAGGGGAAAAATTAGTTATATATGGTGGTCTTCCATGAGTGCTACATGGTGCCAAAAATGATCATAGAATTCATGTTTGTTGTTACATTGCTATTAACAAGTAGATTAAGTGTCAAAAGAATCAATTTGTCTTCTTGGTGCCTAGAAGAGAGAAGATATAAAAAGGTTGGATTTCTTTTATTTTTGAACTTCATTTCTTTTTTTAATGGTCTTAAAACATTCAAGTAAATTCAATCAATAAAAAATTGCCATTGCTTCTCTTAACTGTCTATTGTCACATTTTATAAATTAGCGGGATCCCCCAGAAGAGGAAATACCATTCTGTACTCTGAAATCCTTTCCATCTGCTATCGAACATACTATACAATGGGCAAGAGATAAGGTAATAAAGATATTTGTTAAAGGAATATTTTTTGTAGTAGTAGAAAAGAAGATAGTCCCAGCTTCCAATTAGACTTCTGTTTGTAACTTTTTTCCCTCTTTTCCATAACAGTTTGAAAGTTCCTTTTCCCACAAGCCTTCATTATTTAACAAATTTTGGCAAACCTATTCATCTGCAGAAGAAGTCTTACAGGTAAAAATCAGTATATTTTAATACAAACAGTGTTTTGTGTCATTTTATTTAAAAGTTCCCTGCAATTGGTTTATTTTACCTTTAAAAAGAGATTAATGTTATTATTATTGTTTGTGGTAAGTACATGAAGAATTTTAAAATTAGCAGGTCACAAATGATCTTTTAAAAAGTTATTTTATTTTATTTTTTTAGTTTGGTTGAACTATATGGAGTTGCCTATATTTGACCATGTTTGACCCACAAAACATCAATTCATATGGTTCAACCTAATAAGAGTGTTATAATTCTAGGAGAGCTACAAATAATAAAACAGCTCTTTGTGAGTTCTAGTGAAACTTTCACAATTGGATAGTAATATCTCAGACTTATACTGTCATGGTGAGGACACGACAAAGATGTTTTCTTTCTTTCCTTTAATCCTAAAAATGCCAGCTTTTTAGTATAAAACATTATTCTTAGTACTTATTTTAGTCAGTACATACATACTACCAGTAGCTAGCAAAACAGAATAATTTGGGAGACAAGAAACTTTAGAGTTAAAATTTGATGTGCTATTTTTTTGCTGTTTCCTCTCCAAAAATGAAAGAAAAGAAAGGGAGAGAGGAGAAAGGAAAGGACAAGTAGCATGAGATGGCACTTCAAACTGTGGCTAGTACTCACCTGGGAGAGAGGGAGGAAGGCAGAGAGAGATTAATTGGAAATGCATTTGTTTTGTTTTCTCTCATTCTAGAAGCTACAAACTGGACACAGTTTAGAAGGCTCATTTCAAGTTATTAAATTACTTAGCAGAAGACCTAGAAATTGGTCCCAGTGTGTAGAGTTAGCAAGATTAAAGTTTGAAAAATATTTTAACCATAAGGTAAGTATGCATTATAAAACATTTTAAAAAGGTCTGCCCTTGGCTTATTTAATTACTACCAAATTAATTTCATTGACCTGAAATGTCTACTCTTTCTTTCAGGAAGTTTTTCAGAAATAAGTAGTAAATTAACTGAGAACAAGTGCTGAGTACACAACTAATTTCTCTTTAAATGTCACTTATTAATGAATGCATTTAAACTTCACTAATTGGCTTGTTAGATATACATTTAACTTATCCTTCTCTGTCTACAAAAATGGGTTTTATTAGCTAGAGTTTCCTTCTGGAGTATAAGGAATATATTTCATCAGTAGTCTAAATGTAGTTTCTTTTTCAGAGTAAAGGAAAAGACTGAAAAAATAGAGATATTCAGTCAGAAATTTTGTTGTAATTTTGCCTTCCCTATCCTGTCTGATAATCATATTTTGTGTTTCCTAATTTGTAAAATGGGGGTAATAAGTTGGTACCTAATTCATAGGGCAGTGATGAGGCTCAAATGAGTTAATCTATACTAATAAAAGGGTAATATGCTAATTAGACTGGACATCCTTCCGGACAAAGCCACAGTGGCAGGGGCTGAGGCAGAGGCAGTTAGGGGCGATCAGGCCAACAGGGGAGAGCAGTTAGGGGGCGATCAGGCTGGCAGGGGAGGGCAGGCAAGGGCCATCAAGCTGGCAAGGGGGGCAATTAGGGGCCATTAGGCCGGCAGGGGAGCAGTTAGGGGGCAATCAGGCAGGCAAGCAGTTAGTAAGTAGCCAGTCGTCCCAGATTGCAAGAGGTATGTCCGACTGGCAGTTTGGAGAGGGTGCAGGCCAGGCTGAGGGGAGCCCCCCTCCCATGCACGAATTTTGTGCACTGGGCCTCTAGTACATGTATAAAGCATTTAGAACAGAACCTGGCCCATAAATACTCAATAATATTGGCTGTTTTCTTACCTCCAATAACTTAACAATTGCTAGAATGTGTCCTGTACTCTCTCTTTAATATCCTCCTTTCTTTGGGCTTTTACCTATTGGAATAAATTTTAAGTTCATCCCTTTTTTAAAGTTTTTTTTAATTATACTTATCCTGCAATTCACTGTCTTCTTGGCTCTACTTCTTGGAAAAAGTGGTCTATACTCAACTTTGCCAACTCCACATCCAGTAAATGTGTCTTCTTTCCCCATTCTATTCAAATTATTCTGACCACGATTATCAATGATCTCTTGTTTCAAAATCTCGAACTGTTTTTAGTCCTTATCTTTTGTAGGTTTTTTAAAACTTCTTATAATGGAAAAATTGAGAACAATAGAATGTAGAGAAAATGGTATCATGAACTCCCATGTAATCATCATATGTCTGTCACCAAGGTTGAATAATTAACAACTCCTAGATAATCTTGTTTTAATCTATAACTCCACCCAATATACCCTTCCCCAGATGGTTTTGAAGCAAATCCCAAATATCCTATCTAATAATAGACAAACATGGTAATTGACCGTACCTTTGCTACGCCTCCTATCGGCTAATCAGAGCGATATGCAAATTAACCACCAACAAATATGGCAGCTAATTTGCATATTGCAGGCAGGGTGGGACAGTGCCATCCTGCCTGCCCCACCGCCATCCGGGCCTGCTATTTGCCACCTGGGGCGGTGGGGCGGGACAGCGCCATCCTGCCTGCCCTGCCGCCATCCGGGCCTGCTATTTGCGACCAGGGGCGGCGGGCATCCCGTGTGCGACCTGACCCGGGGCGGCTGGGCAGTGCAGCAGCGATCGGCTGGCCCGCCTGGCCACCATCTGGGCATCCTGTGTGCGACCCGACCTGGGGAGGCCGGGCGGGGCAGCAGCAATCAGCCAGCCCACCCAGGTGCCCCGTGTGCGACCTGGCCCGGGGCGGCCAGGCGGGGCAGCAAAGGCTTGAAAGCGGCTCTGGCCAGAGCGAAGGCCTGGGTCCCCGGTGCCGGAGGAAAACCGGTGCTGGCAGCCAGGGGAAAGGAAAGCCTATTGCACGAATCTTTTCATGCAGCAGGCCTCTAGTACCACTATAAAAATACAAAATAGTATGTATTATACTGGTTTAATTTTAATTTGAAAGTTGCTGAGTACTATGTAACATACACCACCATTTCTGTAAAAAGGAATGAAATAATCTAATTTGTGTTCACTGTAAATGCTGTTAACCTAAAAATAAAAGGCCAAATTGAGTGGCAATAAGCATTTAGATGAGATCCAAAATAATAGCTATTTAGGAAGCACTGATTCAAGCAGAAACTAGAATAGTATTCCAATTAGGAGGTGAAGGCAAGGGGTATTCATGAGAAGGAGAAAAATTACAGGAATAGAAGGGAGGATTTTTTTTTTCTTTATGGGTCTTAATACTCCAAAGAAGGAATTTCTATAGATGCAGATATCAGCATAGTGTTGCTAATTCTAAAGAATATCTAATTTTCAGTCTAATAGTCATAATGCTTTTCTGTTAGCTTTACAAACAGTTGTTTGGGATATAGTATTGCCGTAGGCCCAGTCCAGTGATTATTTCACCCAGTTTTACTATTCCAAAGGTTTGAGGGTTAAGACCTCTAAGGCAGTTCTTCTGGGATGGTAGCTCAGACCCATTTTGAAGTGGCTTCGTTTATATTATTTTTTATAATGACAAACTATTAGTGTTAATTTTAAAATAACAATAGAGCTTATTCCAGGTTTTGGTGTGGCGGGGAGAGGGCAGTGACAGAATCCAGAATGGACAGATGTAGTACAAGAGTAGCTGGGAGACTTCACTGACATCTTTTTGTGTGTTTTCATTGGTTTTTTTTTTACTTCATTTTTTTTCTTTAGGCTCTTCAGCTTCTTCATTGTTTCCCCCTAGATACTCGATTAAAAGATGGCAGTAAGTATAGCTGAGTATTGAGAAGGAAGTTTAATGTAATTTATTACTGGCTGTCTCAATTTAAAATAATATTTATCTATTTTTGTTAGGTTTGTTTTGGCAGTCACCAAAGAGACCTCCCTGTCCAATAAAATTTGATTTCAATGAACCTTTGTAAGTATTTACATCCAGGTTTATATTCATTTGTAAATTTTTAACTTTATATAAGTTTATCTTACTGGGAAAATATTCAGACTTTTTAATGTTAAACGTAGTCTGCCCAACCAAGCCAGTCACAACAACCCTTCTTTCCACACAATTTATTTATTTTCTGTGGTAAATACCCTCATTATTTTTATCTTTTCTAAAATGAAACCAAAGTGTCACCTCTTTGACTTTATCCATAAAAAGTGAAGAGACAGCAGATTTTCTCTATTTAATGAAGCTAGTATATAGGAAATTTAAGTTATTTGGGGTTAAGAATGATTACTACTAAATATCTCCCTAAATAACCTCAAATTAATTTTCAAAGGAGTTGGTCTTTGAGTGAATACCTGTATACCTATCCAGATGCTATATATATATAAGCATACACACACATATTAAACACTTTGTGTGTAAGCCTTCCTTTATGCTTAGGTTTTCATCCGGTGCTTACTTTAGGCTTCCACTCACCTAATCCTGACTGCTTGTTCTATCAAACTTACCTTTCTTTGTTTTAATACACTCTTTTGCTTAGTATGAACCACCTGACATACACTTTTTAATACCAAATATGTAATGCTTTTTTATGAATTTTCTTTCACTAGTATAATTTTTGCTTCTCTGACCACTCATATCCCCAAAGTAATCACAGTCACTACTTTGAAATATCAGTGCTTATAAGGATAAACATCTAATATTTTCTGTCTATAGCCTGTACAGTACTTAGATCTAGACCAGAATTTCACAGCCGGACTTTTAAAAAATAATCTTGTAATAAAAATTCTACGGTTATTTTCTTCATCAACATTTTAAAGACTAGTTTCTGATGAATTAAACATCTTATTTGAAACTGTGAATTCACACTTTGTTTTTTGGTTTTTTAATTTCAAAGGCACTTCAGTTTTCTTCTGAATGCTGCAAAATTATATGCTACAATCTATTGCATTCCATTTACAGAAAAGGTAAGATATTCTTAAAGCTTTAGCAAATGAAACAAAGCCAGGCTAGAATTATATGACTTACCAGCTAATTCCATCATCAAAATGTGTTTATATATTATGAGAATTTTTTTTTCGTTTTTTTATTTTGTTGCATTGTTGCCTATAGCAAAAGCTAAAATCTCATTGCAGCATTACTAAGTAGAAGAAAGTTAATTTTCTTTCTTCCTAAGTTTAAGTAGTGAAACACATTTATAAAAGCAGCCTTAGCTTTATTTTTAAAACATTTATAACATAGTAACTTCCATTGTAATTACTCTGACACCCAAAAGGAACTATTTTATAACAAATTTAAAATATTCCTTAGAGATTCTCTTTGTTAACATTGGTTTGGCTTATTTTATGATGCTTTTTTATATTCTTTTCAGAAAATTTGAAAATGCTACCTCATATTGACATCTCTTAGTCCTTATCATCATATCCATTCTGTTAGGCATTATCTTTTTTGACTAACTGTAAAGGATCCAATGCAGTTTCATTTGAGAGGCAAATTTGCAGTAGTGAATTTTTCCCCACAAATACATAGTAGAGCTAAATAAATTGTAACACTTTTAAATAGGCTGAATGGGGAAATATGAACCAGATTCATAAAATTCTGCCTATTTTAGATCTAGATCCAAATAGATCTAGCTTCCTAGGATCCAGATAAAAATGCCTGTTGTAGATTAATCCTTTTTAGTTAATATACAGTAAAATGTGCTGTGAATGTCCAGTAAAAATAATGGCATACAGTCTAGTATTCTTTTTGTAAAAAGAGTGGTAATTTTGTGATGTATCATAGGTGACCTCAAAAGCAGTTTGTCTCAGTTTTTCCTAAGCAGTTTCTTAATAGTAAATATGGATCTGATAACCTTAAATTTATCAAAGTTCATCTTGAACCATTTAAATATATTCATGTTTTCAAAGATATGAATTCAATTTACTTATTTATTTTATTTATTGAGTATAATTTTATGCCGAGAGCTTTGTAAAACAATGAAGACATAGTCCTCAATCTTAAAGCACTCAGTCTGATACAACCAGTTGTAAAACTACCTTTATAAAAATTTGTGGAAAGAACTAAGATTTTAAGTTTCTTGACAAATAAGTAGTTTTTTGCACATACTACTGTTCCCCCAGTCTTTTGGGTTGATATTTCTATAGAAATAAAGATAGGTATATGTCATAAATAAGTATAGTCTAAATAGTCAAATGATAAATTATTCAAATATTTTTATATGAAAAGGGACTTTTTATAGGACAATTTTAGCTTTAGAATTCAGAATTAAAAGAAAAAGTTTGTTCATAAATTACTTTTTTTAAAAAAACAGGACATATCAGCAGGTGCCCTCTTGAATATTCTTTCAGAAGTAAAGATTCAGGAATTCAAACCTTCCAGTAAGGTACGTTTAGAAATTCTTTTATTTGGCAAATAGTTATTGAACTTCTGTATGTGTCAAATTCCATTCTAAACCTGGAGAATCCAGGTTAGGGTTATAAAAATTTGAGTTAGATGTCTTTTTAAAATAAAAAATAGTACTTTAATTACTGATGATGTAGCTAGTTTCTTAGTTTGAGAATATTAACTTTACTGCCATCATGGGATGTCCAGTAAGTAATTCCTTAAGGATAAATTACTTGTATATGTTGCCCTGCATTTGTATAAAGAAAGACATATTCATTGGAAAAGAATTGCTTGTCAGCAGTCAAGAAATATTTAAAGGATACCTATGTATTTTATGGATCTATTGTTTCTTCGAAGACAGAAAACAGCTCTGTACTAGTTAGAGCCATGAAGTTTGTTTTGAAGTAGATTTGTGAGAATCACAAACTTTTGATTATTATCAACTTTATTTTAGTGTGGAATTTTAAAAGAGAACCATATAAATTCAGAGCTCACAAGCTATTCAGTAAATATTTTTAACACTCACTATAAAAAAGTTTGTTATATATATGTTTATTGTGGTTCTCTTAGTGAACAAAGTAAGCACTCTTGAGAAAAAAGTTTCTCATAGAGTTTAGATGTCAGTGTTAGGAGACAGATAATAAAGAAAACATATAAACAACATAATATTACCAACTTCTGCAAATGTGGAGAACCTTTTTTCTGCCAAGGGCCATTTGGATATTTATAACATCATTCGAGGGCCATACAAAATTATCAACTTAGCCCTGGCCGATGTAGTACTGGTGGTTGGGCGTCAACCCAGGAACTAAGAGTCGAAGGTTTAATTCCTGGTCAGGGCTCATGCCCAGGTTGCAGGCTCGATCCTCAGTGGGGGGATGTGCAGGAGGCCACCAATCAATGATTCTCTCTTATCATTGATGTTTCTAACTCTCTCCCTTCCTATCTCTCTAAAAACTAATATAAACATTTTTTTTTTAATTATCAACTTAAAAATTAGCCTACTATATGTGGTCTATCATTTAATTAACTCATCCCTAATGCCTTGCAGGGGCAGACCAAATGATTTTGCAGGCCTTATACAGCCCACAGGCCTTTATAGTCCATGGGCCGGATGTTCCCCAACCATATGTAACATTACACCATAATGATTAATAATCTGATTAAACTAGGTAGGGGGAATAAACTAGGTATGATAACCAAACTTAGATATTGGATGTGATACATTAATGAACATGTATACATGTATTTAAAGGTTGTTCAAACAGATGAAACAGCACGGAAACCAGACCAGATTCCTATCAGCAGTGAAGATGAGAGGAATGCTATTTTCCAACTAGAAAAGATTATGTCATCTAATGAAGCTACCACAAGTAAGAGCTAATCTTTATTAAAATGTTTTGAACTTGGAGAGATTTCTGTTTTTGCTAAGTTCTACACCCAAAAGCTTATGGGATTTAATAATAATAATAGTAATGATATTAGTTGATTTCATGATCTAATGAAATATACTGTTCATCTTAAACTGTGACTGAATTCATAATTTTCTCCACCATTGCCCTACTCTCAAAAGCTCAAATGTAAGTCTGCTTTGTTATTGTTCTGATTATTTTAGGTTCTGTTGTGACTCATTTTTAACTTATGACTAGAATAATGAGCAAAAAGTGGAGTCATTAAGTTAGACAAGTCACTTCAGGATAAAAATGCATAGACAAATTTTTTTTCTTGGCTTCTTAGTCTCCATAATTACACACAGGGAATACAAACTGACCTACACAAATACTTTGTCTTAAACATAGGGAAACTGAACAGTTAATTCCTTAAAAACAGAGCTACTAATTCATGTTTTTAGACCTGTTCATCATTTCCCTATTACATAAATCAATAGTTACCAAACTTTTGGATTTTATGCACAGACCAATAAAATTCAGGGAAAACAACCAGGATTATTTATTTTACAAATAAAAGGTAACCATCTTAGTTTATTAATTATAGTTCTGGAAAAAAACATACTATCATTTCTTTTTCATTTCATCACAGATCAAATTATACCTATCTACAGAATGATTATGGGAACCACTGATCTAGAAATCTTTAAAAAAGATGCATATTTTTATTTGACCAACTTACCCTATTCTTAGTTATCAAAGGTCAAATGTTTCAGAGTAGTATGTTTCAAATCAACTTTCAAACAATACCCACTGTTGCCTTTTTATTGTAAACCACTTACTAGCAGATGTGGTACATGGCTTTCTTATTTTTCTATTTTTTAGAAAACTTTTTATAATCTAGAAAATTCTCTAATCTAGTGGTATAAAAGCCATTATTTTCATTTTCTTCAATATCTGCAGTTCCTTGCATTTTTCTTGTACATTTCAGTCATTCAAAAACGTAAACAAAAAAGAACCTATAAGAGTAGTGAACCCACATTGCTTTTCACCTGGTAAAATCTTTACCACTTACTAGGAAACTTATTTTTCTGGTTGTTATGATTAGGTGACCTTCAGATGGCAGTCCTTTCATTTGAAAAAGATGATGATCGTAATGGACACATAGATTTCATCACAGCTGCATCAAATCTTCGTGCTAAAATGTATAGCATTGAACCAGCTGACCGTTTCAAAACAAAGCGCATAGCTGGTAAAATTATACCTGCTATAGCAACAACCACTGCTGCAGTTTCTGGCTTGGTGAGTTTATTATTATTTCAGTGAAAATGCATCTTTTTCATAGCCTCTTTCCTTTTTTCCCATTGTACTACCTCCAACCAGTCACTCAGAGATCTTAGAAAAGGAGAGGTATACATATTGATCTTATAATTTAAAATTGCAAGACATTTGTTAAAGTAATCTACATTTTAAATTTTTACAATAAAAATATATTTTTATTGATTTCAGAGAGGGAGAGGGAGAGAGATTGAAACATCAGTGATGAGAGAGAATCATTGATCAGCTGCCTCCTGCATGCCCCACACTAGGGATTGAGCACAACCCCAGGCATGTGCCCCATCTAGGAATCAAACTGTAACCTCCTGGTTCATAGGTTGATGCTCAACCAGTGAGCCATGCCAGCCGGGCAGGTATACAAACATTTTAACATTAAAAAAAATAAGCTCTGTCAAGATAGTCTAATTTTTCTTAAAGGCACTAATCCTCTTAATCATCTTTGTGTTCTCCATACCAAGCAGGTACTCTTTTTCTTTAATAAAATGAACTGCCCTGATCTTTGCTGTTGGATTTTAGTGCTCTGCCTTAAAAAATTGTAATTCCCTATTTGTGATTCAGATTTCTTACAATTTAATCTTCCCTTAATGATTCAGAATCTTTACAATGGCCCTAATTATTACACTGTATACAGTGTTATTCTTAGAAGTCATGTAATTATCTGCCCCTGTATTGTGCTTAGACTATTGTATTTTTGAGTTCTGCTATCTGCTTTCAAAGTAGGAAGATTACCTGGTTAAGTTAACATATATTTTTTAATAACCTTGTTCACCATGTAGAGAACAGATGGAGAGTTTGAAGTATATATGCTAAAACTGGAGAGACTTAGAAGAAATTTATATTACTCTAGTCCAGTACTTGATTTTACTCTTTACAGAGAAATGCTTAAGAAGAATCTAGGGACATTAAGTAGAGATAATTAAAGTCATTAATAGTTTTAGCCTTTTTATATAATCAGTGTACCTTTTTTTAATCTAGGTTGCATTGGAGATGATCAAAGTAGCTGCTGGCTGTCCCTTTGAAGCTTACAAAAATTGTTTCCTTAACTTAGCCATTCCAATTATAGTGTTTACAGAAACATCTGAAGTAAGAAAAACTGAAATCAGGTATGCATGAAGCTCTATTTCTTGTACATAATAAAATTTTTACCTTTCAAAAGGGAAAAATACTAACTTCACATTTTCTTTTTTCTAAATCTATAAATTCTTACCAATACTTCAAGAACAGGTGAAAACCCTATCTTCTTGAAGTATTTTTGACTAAACCACCCATACAACTCTCACAATACTTAATCTGTCACACTGTTTAGCATTGTACTGTTTTATGGTTTCACATACCTAACTCAAATGAATTAGAAGACACCTTTAGTTTCTGACTAATGGATTATCCGATTTAGAATCTAGTTCCAAAAGCTATGTGACAAAGCAAAGCATTTGCCCTGGATCTTCATTTTTGGCTTTCCAGACTGGCAACAACCAAAAATTTGAAAACATCTATCTTGGCAAGACTGTGAGAAAGCACTTTCATATATCACTGATGAGAGTATAAAGTAGTGTAACCCATAATATGGGGAATATAGCACTGTATTTCAGATTTACAGATACATTTACATTCATATCAAATGATATATGTACAAGATATTCATTCTGGCATCATTTGTCATAACCAAAGATTGGAGCAACCCAACTGTTCAGTGGTAGGGCACTATAACATCCACACAGTGAAACTCATGCAGGTGATTAAAAAAGAGAGGGGGAAGACTCTCACTAAGTCATACTGATTTATAATGAGATGCTAGAAAAATCAATAAGGAACTGATAAAAGTGGTTACCTGTGTGGTATGTTGGAGAAATAAGTTTATGGAATAATTAGGAGTTGTATTTTCCTTTTTCCCTCCACATTAATATCTAGCTAAATTACAAATAATGGATTTCTTGGGGCTTTTTATTATTATTATTATTATTATTAAAGGGAAGAAAATTAAAATGTTTTCTGAATATTTTCTACAACAGAAATGGAATATCATTTACAATTTGGGACCGATGGACTATACATGGAAAAGAAGATTTCACCCTCTTGGATTTTATAAATGCTGTCAAAGTGAGACACGTATTCACTTAGTTGCTTTGAGTTTGTTTTTTATACATTAGTTGCTTTGAGTCTTAGTTTTTATACATAAATTTATGGGACAATTTTATAAGTATTATTTTTACTGGCTGTAAAACCTTGTCACCCAAAACTTTATATTTAGATGAAGCTTTGATAATTGTTTCTCTTTTGGATATTCACTTTCAGGAAAAGTATGGAATTGAGCCAACAATGGTGGTACAGGGAGTCAAAATGCTTTATGTTCCTATAATGCCTGGTCATGCAAAAAGATTGAAGTTAACGTAAGTATCACACACTGTATGCAAAAGAGTCACAGGAATGGAAACATACAAGCTGGATGCACACTGGAAAATTAAATATAGCGGTTTATCGAAATTCAGATAGAAATATGTGTTTTACTCCTAATGGCAATCCAAAGACCGTGAATCTACCAAGCTCAGTTGGCTACCTCTCAAGAGAGATTCTTAAGATTATAATACCCTTGTGAATTTATTGTAGTTCAGTGTTAACTTTTCAGCCAATAGGCTTAGAAACCTAATTTGATCAACATATCAAGTGAAAATAGATCCACCTCTCCTGTGGAAACACATAATGACCAGGAATATGAGACTGAAGTATAAAAACAAAAATGCGAAATTATTATTTTCATTCATTCACAATTTTTTTTTTAGGAGTATCTACTATGTGCCAGGTACTTTGGTAAGCATTAGGGGTATAGCAGTGAGCAAAGCCAAGTCCCTGTCCTACTTGGAGAGTTTGTATAACAACTAGATAAGTACATCAGATAGTATTAAATGCTATGGAGAAAAGAAAGCAGAATAAGGGGGTAAATTGCTATATTATATTAAGTAGTCTAGTTAATCCTTCTTGTCGTAGGTAGCATTTCAGCAGGGACCTAAAGAAAGAAAGGGAACCAAAAAAGGCAGTCTTTACAATGGTCTGCAAGGCCCTAAAAGATCTGGTTCCCAGTTACTCCTCTAAATTTCTTTTATACTTCTCTCCCTTTACTCTCAAAATTCTATCTATACTGGTCATTCTTTCTTTTCTTTGAACACTCCAGGCATGCACTAGCATGAAACCTTTGCTGTCATTGTTCCCTCTGCTTGTACCTCTTTCTGCGATAACAACCTGGTTAATTCTCACTTATGGTCTTTGTACCTCTTGAAGAGGCCTCCATGAGCCCTGTTAAAATACTGCATTCTATCTGCTACCCCCTCCTCGCATGCTTGATCCCCTTTGCTCTACTTTTTCTCTTTAATATAGAATTTATCACTGACTTGTAGCTACTATATAATGTTTATTAATTATCTGTTTCCCCCAGCACCTAGACCAGGGGTCCTCAAACTACGACCCGCGGGCCACATGCAAATACAAATATTGTATTTGTTCCCGTTTTGTTTTTTTACTTAAAAATAAGATATGTGCAGTGTGCATAGGAATTTGTTCATAGTTTTTTTTTAAACTATAGTCCAGCCCTCCAACGGCCTGAGGGACAGTGAACTGGCCCCCTGTTTAAAAAGTTTGAGGACCCCTGACCTAGACCATTAGCTTCACAAGGGGTCAAATCTCTATTTACACGGATATATTTCAAGAACCTAGACCATTTGTAATACTTTACGCAATAAAAAATAAAATAAATAAATAAATAAATAAATAATTTTTAAAAAAAGAAGCCCTGTTAAAATCTGAAGAAAAAAAAAGAACCTAGACCAATGCCTGGCACAAAATAGACATTAATAAATATTTGCCATATGAATAAATGAATCTCCACATGATGGTGCTATAACATGTCAACTTTATGATTATCAGTTAATGAGGTTATTCACTGTTTTTTATTATTATAATCCAGTCTTAATTATCTATACTTCACAAACAGAATTCCTATTATATTAGCTAAGGCAGTGGTCGGCAAACTGCGGCTCACGAGCCACATGCCACTCTTATATTGGTTGTGTTTTTTTAATTCAGATCCCTAAGTATCTTTTGGATAAAGAGTAGTATTTAGAATTATGTCATATACTAACTAGATGAGATTGGAATGTGTGGTCCTGAAGTGTATTATCTAGTGAAATTTAACATTTGCTGTGAATATTCATAAAAATACTTTATAGAATTGGCCAATATGTATAAGCTCCAGCATGATGTTTTGTGAATAATATTTCTCATTTGATTACATTGTTTACTTAGCAGATAACTTACTGAGTATCTATGAAGTGGCTTGATAAGCTTGACTTCAGAAATACCTGGGTTCACATCCTTCCTCAGCTATTTCATTGTTTTGTCACATGGAGTAGTAGCTTATTGAACTTTTTTGAAACTTAGTTTCCTATCCACAAACAGGGATGTTTGTGCTATTGAATACTAAAGTAATAGTAAGGGCTAGTATTGTAATAGCAAGTAAAAAACATTCCATAAATATTACTCCTGTTAATGTTCTGTCATCATACATCTTTATCAAATAGACCAGTGGTCGGCAAACTCATTAGTCAACAGAGTCAAATATCAACAGTATAACGATTGAAATTTCTTTTGAGAGCCAAATTTTTTAAACTTAAACTATATAGGTAGATACATTGTTATTAACTTAATTAGGGTACTCCTAAGGGTTAGGAAGAGCCACACTCAAGGGAGCCTCATGTGACTCGCAAGCCGCAGTTTGCTGACCACTGAAATAGACTTGCTCTCAAGGAGTTCACAGTTTAAGGAAAAGTCACATGTTAACCATTAAAATGTAATTGAATAGTTATTATAATAAAGGTTTTTACAGAATACTATGGGTACTACTAAATCAAACCTTCTGCTTAGGGGAAATTTTATTTGCACTACTTTTGAAAATGGATTATATCAGGCAAAAGCAATAGTTTGTGCAAAGGCATGCAGCTAATAATAAAAAGCGTACATGATCTATTTGGAAAATCAAGTATTTTTGAATGACTTAACGGTGAGATGGATAAGAGTAAGGGGTGGAAAGAATGAAAGTTATATATGGGACAAACTATCTTTGTAAAATGGAAGGAGCTAATATTGAGGATTAAAAATGTTGTAGTTCAGAGCCTGGCATGAGCTAGGTATGACAGATAACATTATTAGGCAAGAGAATAAAATAAGATTTACTTTTTAAGAGAATGTTGGCAGCAGAGTAGATTGGAGGTAGAAGAGAAACTGGAGACAGCTGTCTAGAACAGCCGTGGGCAAACTACGGCCCTCGGGCCGAATCTGGCCCGTTTGAAATGAATAAAACTAAAAAAAAAAAAAAGAAAGACCGTACCCTTTTATGTAATGATGTTTACTTTGAATTTATATTAGTTCACACAAACACTCCATCCATGCTTTTGTTCCGGCCCTCCGGTCCAGTTTAAGAACCCATTGTGGCCCTCGAGTCAAAAAGTTTGCCCACCCCTGGTCTAGAAGCTAATGCAGTAATAGGGTATATAGATGATGGTTTAATTTAAGACAGCAGTGACAATAGCAAAAACTAAGTGGTGGGGGAGGGGGTTAGAGTTTTTTTAATCCATTACAGTTTACATTCAGTATTGTTTATTCTTGTATTAGTTTCAGGTGTACGCACAGTGGTTAGACCAGTGGTCGGCAAACTGCGGCTCTTTGCCCCCTTGAGTGTGGCTCTTCCACAAAATACCACGTGCAGTATTTTAAATATGAGGGAAGCTTTTCTCAACAGGTTTCAGGAATTCAGAAACAGCAAAGCAACATTAGCCTTCGTTAAAAACCTCTCAATGCTACTGTAACAGAATTAAATTTTTCTCCCTTTAATATTGACATTGGCAACTTTGAAATGCAATTGCTGGATTTAAAAAAACAAAGAACTGTGGAGCTCGAAATTTGAACGTCTTTGTGCTGATATAGAAATATTGGAGAAAAACAAATGTGAACTTAGTTCAAAGCACAAGTGGTCTGCTTTGAAAGACCTTGAGAAGGAAGTTTTGTTGATTTTTAACACTTGGAATAGTATTCCTGATTCATATAATCAACTGAAAAACTAGTGTTTGCTGTTCTTTCCTTATTCGGGTCTACATATTTATGCGAACAATCATTTTCAAGCATGAACCTTATCAAGATTAAATTGAGAAGTCGTCTTATTGATGAGAACTTGGAATCATGCCTAAAATTAAAAACAACATACAAACCTGACTTACCCAAACTTTCCAAGGAGATGCAAGGCTATTGTTCACATTAGTGTTTGTCAGTCATTGTCATGATTTAATTTTATGGATATTGTAAGGTAAATTGTAAGGAATTTAATTTTATCAATAAATAATATCCTTATTAAGTATGATATCAAGTTTTATTCAACGTACCTATAGTTTAACTAAGACTTAAAACTTTAAGTAAAGTTTATTAAGTTAATTTTAGGGAATGTTGTGGAGTGAAAGAAGATGTAGTGTCGAGGATTGAGAAAGGTATGTTGAGATGGTTTGGACATATAGAGAGGATGAACAAAAGGAGATAGACGAAACAAGTATATAAGATGAGTGTGGATGGGAGAGTTGGAAGGGGTCGACCTCAGCGAATGTACCTCAATCAGATTGAGAATGTTAGCAAAGGCCAGCTTAGGAGTACCCTAATTAAGTTAATAACAATGTACCTACCTATATAGTTTAAGTTTAAAAAATTTGGCTCTCAAAAGAAATTTCAATCGTTGTACTGTTGATATTTGGCTCTGTTGACTAATGAGTTTGCCGACCACTGGGTTAGACAATCATATTTTACAACGTGGTCCCCCATCCCCCATGTTTTAAGTACCCCTCTGATCCCATTGGTAGTTGTTACAATATTATTGACTATATCCTTTATGCTGTAATTTACATTCCTGTGTCTATTTTGTAACTACCAATTTGTTTAAGTGTTTTTTTGGTTCGTAGGATAAACAGAGGATATAAGGGAAAGGTGATACTTAAGAATGTGTTTTACTGTGATGTTTCTAGCTTACATTCGAAGATTTAAATATTGCTTGCTTTTTACTCTTTACAGAGATAGGAATGAGAAGAATTTATGATTTCTCTAAACTTTATAGGAGTTATAGGAGAATTTGTTTTCTTAAATCATTGCTTTCAAAAAGCATTTTGGGTTTTTTATGTTTTTTGTGTGTTGGAGAATTTGTTTCACTTTTTGTTTTTGAATAAATGGTTTATATTCTTTACCACTACTAGCAGTGGTCCATAGTGATTCACTGTTAGGTAAGTGAGTGTCTTAAGTTTAGAGCTTTTAGTTAAAAAAAAAAAGAATAGATGAAAACAGATGTATTATTGGGGTTAAAATGAAATTAAAGTCTAGATACAAGTCCGATTCTCTGGGCAATGTTAGTCAGCAAATCATTCATTTTAGGAATTTACCAAATTATTTGTCTTTTGTTATTTTTCTTAGAATGCATAAACTTGTGAAACCTACTACTGAAAAGAAATATGTGGATCTTACTGTGTCATTTGCCCCAGACACTGATGGAGATGAAGATTTGCCTGGACCTCCAGTAAGATACTACTTTAGTCATGACACTGATTAACAGAAGTTGTCTTAAAGTTGCTGCAGCACTTCTTTGATTTTAGAAAGAGTGACTTAATTCAGAGCTGCAAAATGAGCTCATATTACTAATGGATTTCTCTTTGAGGAAACCTTAATTTAAGGGACATAACATCAGGAAACTACACTGAAGAATTGCAAAACATTTTGGAGCATAGTATATACTTGTTATGTGGACATGATCACAAGCACCTTTGAATTGGAATGCCATTTTATAATGCTTACAACAAATTTGTGTATTAACCTCTCTGGATGAATAGAAGGAAAAAATATGTATCCATGACCAGAAGAGAGAAAAGTTTAAAAAAAATTAAAGTAACAAATGCAACTATCCACAAAGTTTAATCCTATTTTATGAATTTCTTATTTGTTTACTTTTTGAGGCCTGTTTTTCTATACAAATAGTGTCAGGCACCCTGTACCTCTCATGATTAGACTTTGAATTTAACACCAGTGGGAAGTGGAGAGATGGTGAATGAAGAGTAGACATTTTAAGTTTTATAGTTGCAGTTTACTGTCCTATTACCTCTGCTAGTTTAACCAGAGTTTGTTATATCACCGTCTCCCAAAAATCAGGATCTTTGTTGATAGCATCAGTGTTGTAAGCCATGAGCAGTAGGTCAGATGACTAAATGTTAACTGTATTACATGGACTCTGATAACCCTCTTAGAGAATCCGTGAATGTGAACAGATGTAGCTAATCATTTGATTCTTCACTATGCCGTCTCATGTGGCCGTTTTATTTATTTGGAACTCTAGACCTAATTGTCATAGTATGTAAGATTAAAAGGTTTTGTGAAGGGAGTGTTTTTTAAAAGTAGTTGAAAACTAGAAATTAAAAAATTATCACTAGTTGAGTCTTGGATTTTTTTTTCCAGCAACCTAATAAACAGGAGGGAAAAAATTTAATATTTTATGTTAAAAAAAAAACGTATTATTTTATTCTGCATTCCCAGAAAGGGAATAAAAATAAAAATTTATTTTTTTAGGTCTTTGATGACAGAAACTTTCTGTTTTCTGATATGAGCTGTTGCATATGTTCATATAAGTGCTATCATTAAAATGACATAAAGTATAATCAACACTGTAAACTCAATGAAAACAGCAAGTGTTTCTTTTTCTAAAACTACCGTGTATTTTAAAGCAAGTTTAACCCACAGAAGTCATTTTCCTCTAGTCTAGCTGCTTTTCTTCTGCTCCCCTGTTCAGACCATTAGTAGGTACTTTGATAAAACTAAATTCACATCAGTATTACTCCAATTAGGTATATTTTTATATCCTCAACTTTTATTTTATTTACAAATACTTTAAATGACTATCAACCAGCTTTGTTATTTTATTCTTTTGTAAAAGTATTATCCAGTTGAGAAAATAAATTTCTTTAGGAGTAGAAGGTGAAAATTGTTTGGTTAACAGATAGATAATCTGTGCATTGGGAAGTGGAGAGAAGTGGACAGGATGAATTTAAAGGAAATGGCTACCTTTGAAATAAGCAATTAATTTTTGGTTCCTCATATCCTACTCTATCCAGTTGTGCATATTAGAAATATAATGCTTAAAATTAATGTTACTTAAAATCGAACCCAGAAACATCAGAGTTCTATGGCTTAGAACTTTAGAGGGAAGGAATAATAAAAGGAGTTTTCTGTAAGAAGCCTTTTTCCCCACTTTTATATTGTTTTGTGCTCCATGATAGTAACTGATATTTTCCAAGTAGCCATTCAGTAAGTCAACTATGACCTAATAGCTTGCTTATCATTTGATATAAATCTCCAAATCTCTTCCAAAGTAAATTTAGAATGTGCTCTCAATTCTTATTTATATAGAACAGTGCGTTAGCAGATACAAACAAAATCAACAGGGATTAAACCTGAAACCCTTTTGTTGTTGTTGTTGTGTTTTTCTGTAGGTAATAGTTATTGCCATTAATTTCTTCTGTTTAGTTCTACTAAGCTGGAAAGCCAAGATGAAGTTAATGACAATTTTTTTCATTCTCTAGTTTATTTCTGTACTATGATATTAGTACTAGTGTTTGCAATACCAGGTGCAAAAAATTAATTATTTAATTTTGTATGGTACCACTGAGTAATTTTTTACTTGCTAAAAATAAATTAAGAAATTTGACAATATCTTTGTAAATCCAGAGATTTCAATTTTACTATTTATTTTGTTGGTAATGTTGCTTTGGTGTTTCCTAATTATCAAGTTTTGCAGTCATGGACATACGAAGTCACTGGATGTGGAGGGACATTACTTAAAAGTTTATTTGGCTCCTGGGAAGTCTATTAAAACAATTGGGGGTAAATGGTGGTGACCATGTAAAACCCAGAAGATCTGCTAAATCCCAAACTGTTAGCTGCAGATTTCTAATGCCTGTTTTGGAGTTCAAAGCAGTTATGTTAACTCATCTATAAGTTCCTCTAAATTGTCCCAAAGATAGAACTTGGAATTAGATGTGTATCATTGAGTCTACTATTTTATAATTAGTAAAATGAAGACAGAAAGAAAATTGTTCTCTTGAGATTTTGAGAAAAAACCTCTTGACCTAATAATTCATAATGAATATTATCAAAAATTTACTGTAATCATCTATCTACACTAATAAAAGAGAAACATGGTAATTGGCATATGACAGCTACCCTTCCCATTGGCTAATCAGGGCAATATGCAAATTAACTGTCAGCCAAGATGGCGGCCGGCAGCCAGGCAGCTTGAAACTAACATGAGGCTTGCTTGCTTCAGTGACGGAGGACTCCAATGTTCCCCACCTGCCGCTGCAGGCCTCTGAGCCTGCAGTTTCAAACATTGTAACAAATACAGACGCTAAACAAAACTGCAGAAACCAGCTTTCAGCTGACTGGGATCTCAGAGCTGGAGTTGATAGAGAGTTTCGAGAACTGAAACAAACCAGATACCTGCTTTCAGGAGCGGAGACCTAAGAGCTGGAGCCTCAGAGCTAAAGCTGGCCCAGAATAAAAAGAAAAAAAGGAGCAGTTGGGAGCTTCAGTCCCAGCCTGAAAACAGCCCTCAGCCCCTCACCCAGACTGGCCAGGCACCTCAGTGGGGACCCCTACCCTGATCCAGGACACCCCTCAGGGCAAACCAGCCGGCCCCACCCATGCACCAGGCCTCTATTCTATATCGTAAAAGGGTAATATGCCTCCCAGCACTGGGATCAGCGGAGCCACGAGGCCTCCCGGCACCGGGATCAGCGAGACAGGGGGCAGCGCCCAAACCCCCTGATCGCCCTGCAGCTCTGTGTGTGACAGGGGGTGGGGCCACAACCTCCCTATCCGCCCTGCTCTGTTCGTGACAGGGGAAGGTGCCCCAACCCCCTGATCGGCCCTGCTCTGTGGGTGATAGAGAGCAGTGCTACAACCGCCTGATCCGCACTGCTCTGTGTGTGACAAGGGGCTGTGTGCCAACTCCCCTATTGGCCCTACTCTGTGAGTGATAGGGGGGAGCTCCTCAACCCCCTGATGGGCCCAGCTCTGTGCGTGACAGGGGGGAGCTCCCCAACCCCCTGATGGACCCTGCTCTGTGCGTGACGGGGGGGAGCTCCCCAACCCCCTGATGGGCCCTGCTCTGTGTGTTACAAGGGGCAGTGCCCCAACCCCCTGATTGGCCCTGTTGTGTGCGTGACGAGGTGGCGCCACAACCTCCCCATCGACTCTGCCTTGAGTGTGACAGGGGGCGGTGCCCCAACCCCCCAATCGGCCCTACCCTGAGTATGACTGAGGGTGGCATCACAACCTCCCAATCCACTCTGCTCTGTGCATGACAGGGGACGGCACCCCAACTCCCCAATCGGCCCTGCTCTGAGCCCAACCAGGGGCTGCACCTAGGGATTGGGCCTGCCCTCTGCCACCCGTGAGCAGGCCTAAGCCAGCAGGTCGTTATCTCCCAAGGGGTCCCAGACTGCGAGAGGGCACAGGCCGGGCTGAGGGACCCCCCCCCCCAAGTGCACAAATTTTTGTGCACCGGGCCTCTAGTATATATATAAAAGGCTAAGTGTCCATCCATCCAACCAGTAGCTATGATGTGCACTGACCACCAGGGGCAGATGCTCAATGCAGGAGCTGCCATGATGTGCACTGGCCACTTAAAAATAAATGGCACCAGGGACCTGGCGCTGCCAACAAACCAACACTCGGCTTCCCCCAAATGGGACACAGGCCCCGCCGCACCACCATGGAGCAACAGCCCACCAAATCGCAGCCATCACTGCCGAGACCCCATGGCGCAAAATGCGGCCCACAGCCCAGCCCAGAAATAGTTGTTGTGGGTGCCAGGTAAAGACATCACGTAGCAACATCCAGCTTCCTCTCCTTAGTGACTAGCCTCCTTGGAGTTTCTTCAGCCCAGGAACACGACTTCCTTTATAGCCAGGTGCAAACATTTTACAGTTTAACCAAATGTCTGTGAAGTGTTTTCCCATGCCTCATCTCATTTGATCCTCACAGAAGTCCTGGAGTAGGTAGATAGGAGACTTGAGGGAATCCTATTTTCTTTTCATTAGCCGGAAAATGGAGATTTAGAAAGTTTAGAAACTTGACTCAACTGAAAAGAAGAAATGGTGGACCTTGAAAATGACCAGTTTTTCTCGCTGCACAGAATATAGTCAGACACTGCTGCAGTTAAATATTTTACCCTTTGTTCTTCCTGCTTGATCTACAATAATAATCTGCTTCATGTTGATATTTACTGCTGTGTTGCTGACAGTTACCTAAAAGAGAAGTTGGGATGCTTCACTGGGCTGGAGAAAGTTTAGCTAACTCAGAAATCAGGTCTAATTAAACAAGTTCTAGCTACACTAATAGAAGACAAACATGCAAATTGACTGTATCTTCACTATGCCTTAAGCCTCGCCCACCAGCCAATCAGAGTGACTATATGCAAATTAACCCAACCAAGATGGTAGCTGGCAGCCACGGAGCTGGAGCAAGCAAGAGGCTTGGTTGCCCCAGTGATAGAGGAAGCCAAGCTTCCCACCTGCCGCGGCCGGCTCTGAGCTCCACTCAAGGCAACAAAGTTTCAATTATAGAAGATAAATAAGCCCCAGATACCTGCTTTCAGCCAGCTGTGGCCACGGAGCTGGAGCAAGCAGGAGGCTTGGGTTGCCCCTGGCGATGGAGGAAGCCAAGCTTCCCGCCCACCCTGACCGGCTCTGAGCTCCACTCAAGGCTACAGAGTTCCAATTATAGAAGGTAAATAAATTCCAGAATAAAAAAATAAAGAAAAAAAGGAGAGGCTGGGAGCTTCCATCTTGGGGGGGCTTGGCCAGACTGAAAATGGCCCTCAGCCCTCACCCAGACTGGCCAGGCACCCCAGTGGGGATCCCCCCCACCCTAAAGGGGGTGTGGCCAGCCTGAAAACAGCCATCAGCCCCTCACCCAGGCTGGCCAGGCACCCCAGTGGGGACCCCCAACCTGAAGGGGGTGTGGCCAGCCTGCAAACACCCATCAGCCCCTCACCCAGGCTGGCCAGGCACCCCAGTAGGACCCCCACCCTGATCCGGACACCCTTCAGGGCAAACCAGCAGGCTCCCACCCATGCACCAGGCCTCTATCCTATATAATAAAAGGGTAATATGCAAACTGACCCTAACAGCAGAACGACGGAATGACTGGTCACTATGACACACACTGACCACCAGGGGGAAGATGCTCAGTACAGGAGCTGCCCCCTGGTGGTCAGTGTGCTCCCACAGGGGGAGCTCTGCTCAGCCACAAGCCAGGCTGATGGCTGCCAGCACAGTGGTGGTGGCAGGAGCCTCTCCCGCCTCCTCAGCAGCACTAAGGATGTCCAATTGCAGCTTAGGTCTGCTCCCTGCTGGTAAATGGACATCCCCCGAGGCTGCTGGGCTGCCAGAGGGATGTCTGACTGCCAGCTTGGGCCCAATCCCCCCAGGGAGTGGGCCTAAGTCAGCAGGTGGACATCCTTCGAGGGGTCCCAGACTGCAAGAGGGCATAGGCCGGGCTGAGGGACCCCCCCCCCCAAGTGCACAAATTTTTGTGCACCGGGCCTCTAGTCTATATAATAAAAGCCTCAGTGACCATTACAGCACAATAACTGGTCGCTATGATGCTCTCTGATCATCAGGGTGCAAATGCTCAATGCAGGAGCTGCCCCCTGTAATCAGTGTGCTCCCACAGGGAGAACGCCACTCAGCCAGAATTTGGGCTCATTGCTGGCGAGCACAGCACAGCAGTGGACTGTGAGAGGGCACAGGCCAGGCTGAGGGACACCCCCCTCCCCAGTGGACGAATTTTGTGTACCGGGCCTCTAGTAAGTATGTAATTACTCAATATAGAACCACTAGGTATGAGTTTAGCTATTTTACTTTTAACAAATTCAGTAGGACATTGAGATCTTGGAGATTATAGTAGGTAATGGAAAGGTAATTTGTGTTTATTTTTGTATTGCTATGTCCTATCTTTTTTTGTTTGTTTTTACATATATATATATATATATATATATATATAAACATATACTAGAGGCCCGGTGCATGAAATTCGTGCACTGGGGGGTGGAGGTTCCCTCAGCCCAGCCTGCCCCTCTCACAGTCCGCGAGCCCTCGGTGGATGTCCTACTGATGGCCACAGTCTGGCAGCAGGGGCTCGAAGCAGGCGTTCCGTGTGTGTGTGTGTGTGTGTGTGTGTGTGTGTGTGTCTGCTGGGGGCCTGCCCCCAGCCACACCATGGAGGCTTGAAGCAGGAGCCCCTCTGTGTTGATCTCTCAGGCTCCTGGCCACCACTGCATGTTGTACTCTCCCTTGAGCTATGGCCAGGATGGGGGTGCTGCTTGCAAGCCGGGCTTTCCTGCTCCAGGATCTCCATGGCGACGGGGGAGCAGGCCCAGCTGGGGGCTGTCCACAGGCCAGGCTTTCCCGCTTCCAGGTCTCCATGGCAACCGGGGAGCAGGCCCAGCTTGGAGCTGCCCTCAGGCCAGGCTTGCTCTCCTGTTCCCGGATCCCCATGGCAACCAGGGAGCAGGCCCAGCTGGGGGCTACCCGCAGGCCGGGCTTTCCTGCTCCTGGATCAGGCCCAGCTTGGGCGCAGGCCGGGCTTTCCTGCTCCATGATCAGGCGCAGCTGGGGGCTGCCTACAGGCCTCACTTTTCTACTTACCATTGGCCGGATCACCACAGCGACCCAGGGCCCAGCAGCACGTTCCTGCTCTCCAATAGTCATAGGGTCCCGGCTGGGGGTGGGGCTTAGCAGTGCGGGGCTTAGGCGTCACGGGAGTCCCAGCTGGGGGCTCAGGTGGCACATAGGGGTCCCAGCTGGGGGCGGGGCTTATGCCCCG